CTCATATTCCTGTCGCCGCGTCATGCCGCAGCTTGAAACTAGTCGAGTTCCTCGTCAAATTATTACGTGAGTAAGCCGAAAACATAATAATTTATTTAGTATGTCTCACGAAAGTTACAATACATCTCATTCATGCTTCCTTTCCAAAATGCGCTTATAAGTTTCCACCTTTACACGGTACGAGAAACCATTCATCAGATTTCTTATCACATTCTAGAGCTCTTTTCAGAAACAAAGTTCCCGATAAGTTCGTTGCTATGTTTCAGCATTGACGTCATTGTATTTGCGTGCACTTGTAACTTGGACATAATTTACATAACGCTGAGAGGAGGCGCAGGCATCTCGTCATTCTGTCAGCTACACTGACGCTCTTCCGCATATATTGAGGCCGGTTCACGCGGTTCATCGTCGCTTTAATTGATTGCACTCCATCGCTCCTTACTCCCTGTTATTGCGAGACTAACTTGCTCCTTAAATGCTATTCACTTATCGACATCAGAGCAAAGTACTTTGGACCTATCGTGGGTTATGTGATGCATAGTAACAGTTTATATGAAACTGAAACCGCAATAGAACTTGCCTAAAGAGATTTCGTCTTTATACAACTAACAACAAGATTCTAAATAGATTATAGGTTGATTGAGCGATTAAATACCTACTTAATCAATAAGAGCTTAATTTAGTGTAGGTAGGTAATGCTTACTCAGCCATTTTTTACTATCTGAGATTAACATCGTAGCTATCATAATTATCATATCGATGTCCTAATTTTTAATCGTGATCATCACCGACAATAGTTGTTATTGTTAAATAAAATAATCAATAAAAATTATTAAGGTACTTATTTTTGTAAGTGAATTTGGCCATCATTATAGCAAACCATTTTGCAAAAACTGCATCAATTTATCCTCCATCGTCCAGCGATGAATCCCGACTAATTTCTTTTCATGATATTTACGAACGAGTCAAACTATCAACTTGTATCGTCTTATTTCAATTTTAAAGATCAAAGTACCAATTAGCCAGTTGAAAAGCTTTATAACGAATTTATATAAGACTTAATGAAATGAAGAGCTTGCTTGATAATAAATTAGCAACCGTCTGGGTTCTAGAAAATGTATTTCTCTCTGAAACTAGACGGCGCGTAAGATTTCGACGAGACACAAAACATAAGCATAGGTACTTAGTTAGTAGCTTCCGTCTCCTTCAACCGACTTCTGCATCTTCCGATCGATATCAAGACTGTCGGCTCGGCTATACAACATACATACATAACCTTACGCCTGTCTCCTATGGGGGTAGGCAGAGACTACGATTCTTACATAGCTCTTTCGCTCCATCAACAGTCTCTCTTTTATTCGCTACGAAGTACATACAATATATCACATTCTCTAGGTAAATTCAGTATAAACATTTCGATAACATCAATGTCATTGCAATTAATTTACATTTTAAGACCCGATTCAAGGATTTTCACAAAAGTCAATGAACGCGTTAAGACATTTGCAAGCTTATTCGATATTATTGGATCTAGTTTTGGACTATTCCTTTGGTAATAAAAATCTCCAGTTTTCAACATCTCCAGTGCCTTTAGCCAAATTCCACTTTAGCGCTTGTCTACAGAGAGAGTAGAAATCAACATGTATGGGGATGACACTGACAAGTGTCAAAATTTACGTCAATCCCATATAATTTGGTTTTCTATTCTACATGTAGACAAGCACTAAATGGCATTTGGCTACAGCTGCAGGTCATTACACCTCAAGAATTGTCTGTCATTGAAATGTGTTGAGATGGATAGAAGATGTTCTTATTGAATGACAGTTGATATGACATTCAGTTACGAGAGTAACGAAACATGAAGATGTTTGTAAGGTTGAGTAGTGTTCAGATGAAATATAATTGGAGATTGTAGGCAGACTGGTATAGACAGTGTGCTTCCCTGCAGAGTAACGCGATGGCGCGGGCGGCCGAGGGCGGCGCGCGATTCGTTTTGCTCCCCGAAGGCCGACCAGTCCCGGTCGTCTCGCCGCATCGGATATGTGTCACTATAACACTATACATACGTCTGCTTCCCTTCGTGGGACTTCCACACTGAGACTTGGTATTGAAACAAAAAGATTCTGTGGACTGTGACCTTAACGCATCTCTCATATTTCGATCATTTGCGCCAAAACTTTTTTTATGAGAAACTCATTGTTTTAGGTGCTAAGACCTAAGTAGGTACCAGCTAGCAAGTTTAGTACCACAGGTTTTAAAAATCTTTAAATGTGCTACGTTGTTAGGTACCTACCAACAAATAATAATTAGCATAATCTTAAAGTTCAAACGAACGTCAAAATAATTTTTATAAATAGCTACATATGAATGAGATGAAGAACCAAGAATTTGTTATCACTAAAGTAACAAACACATCACCAGTGTCATGGAGTGACCAAAGTATCAACGAAGCTATGTTTAGCGAACAGAAAGAACGACAATAAATTCAAACCAATCAGGAACCGAGACCTTTAATGTTCTCAGAAATCAATCAGATTCAGAGCTGACAAACTAGCTTTTTATATCAATTGATGAAATATCAATGACATGTAATTTATGGTAAAAAAAAACTTGATTGGGTTCCCAAAAGTGTGTGGGACATATGCGTAGGTTTATAGAGTAACACTGTAATATAGACCGTTTGCAACTAACAAAGATCACGAAAGAAGATGAATAATAATAACTTTACAATTTAACTCGTCGAGTACCGGTTTTATAGACACAATTAAAGAACAATAGGTCGCGGTCACCGGTGACCGCTTGGTGTTTGACAGATTAATTGTACCTATAATAAAAAACGTGTCCTTGTACGAGGTTCAAGGCGAACGGTAAGTCGGTGGTAAAGCGCGTCATTGCCGATACAAAATTTTGTACCGACGCGACGATGGTTTACGACCCAACTCAGCAATCCATTATCATACTAATGGGGTAGTTTTAGCCAACTAACCAGTTGTGGAAGGCCATCGATACCGCAAAAGTGAAGCAGAAAAAAAACAAAATCTCAAAGTGCGATCATGTGTTGGTGGGTTTTATCGTTGATCGAAAAGAACCTATGGATTTATTACGGGCATACTAATTAGCAGACTACCTTTAATTATAAGCCTATAGTGATGTCTTTATTTACATGGTTCTGATTAAGCAGGTACTATTAGTATGAATTAAAATATGTACGCAAATATGCACTTTGACACCAAATTAGAGTAATAACATGAAGATTTGCATAAAGAGAATCGGCATTCCGTTTCTGAACTGAAAGACAATAATTGCCAAAAAGTTATTAACTTAACAATGGCAACCTAAATTCGCAGTTACTTATAAATATTCATGTCATCATTAATTAGGTTCATCAACGTCTAGAAATTTGAGACAGGATAATAACATTGATGAACATCCGGTCACCGGCTCTCGACACATGTTTTAAAACGAGGAGCCACACGTGACACCGCCAAATATCACCAGAATTATACAACAAAACTACTTTTACTTGTGTCATTTTATCAACAATCCGATGCATATGAACGTAAAACATCTTTTTACCAGACAAATATATTGAATCAATAGCCATTATTATATTACAATCGCTGTTTTCTAAATCAATGTTGTGCGACGGACCAATATCGTTTATACATCGTTCGCAATTATTCTTAATTAGTACCGGGTAAAAAATTAACCTTGAATCAGAGGCAGGAGTAAGCGACCGATTGAATATTAATAATATAGCGATGAGTGAACAATTGCTGAATATTCAACGTCTCGGTCAAGCAGTCTCACGCACTCCTGGCTGCAGAGAACGCCTGTTTGGCAATAGGAAGCGACAGGAAACACTCCACCATAGGCCACGACCACGACAATAAAAATGGTAAATAAAGATTTTCAATGCACATAAAATTCTTTACAAATTTCACTTTTTTATGAAGAATCCAAGAGACTCATTTTCTTCGTAAGATTTATGAAGAAATCTCGACCAATGTTAATACCATTTCTTCTCAAACTGAACACAAAACTTATAAAATCCTTGTTCATTAAGAAAGCACTTAACATGTAGTTAATTTTTATTAATGAAGTAAAATGTGGGCTATCTCTAAATATAGGTCGCTATTTGCATTTTTAATGATACAGTTTCTTTAAAGGTCAGAAACTATCAACCAATTACCAGCACACGAAGGAAGTTGTGAACTTTACGAAAGTATTTCAACCGTAACTTTAGTTATGGATGAATTATCCAGTTTACTTAATTGTTAGCCGTAGGTCCTGCACTACATGGATCGAGCATTCTTGTTAAGTATCTATGATACAGGCTTTTCATTTAAACTGCTTACCCAAGCAAAAATTCTATAAATTAATTGCGCCTCATAAACCAAACTGCACCCATTTAGCAACTACTTACAGTTTGCGTATTCTTTTCAAAACGTATAGGGCGAATTTTACATGCAACAATTTAAACTTTTTTTCGCGTCATCCGTATGAAGAAAAAACACCTATTAAAAATTTACTTCCAACATAACTTCTCCAAAACACGCAAGCTAAGCGTAGCGCTTCATAATTCGCAAGAAAAATGTCTGAATAATGTATATTTTCTACTTGCAGCCGTAACTTCATACACTTTATGCCTCGGCTGGATCTTTGTGTCCGGGATAACGCAGAGAAAACTAAACACATAAATACAACAATCATTATTTATAATCTTATAACTTAAAGAAAAACTTGTTCATAATATTATAATGGCTAAGCATAGTAGGTTTATATCTAGTCTGGATCATGTACTCGTGTTACCTATTTCAGACGCAGTCTATGAATTAAGTGCAAAAAAATAATTACCTACGTGCTTGCTCGCTTGGTACATAACTACGTACACTTTATTTAAAATTAAAAAGAATAAAGCATAACGACCATAAATAAAAATAGGAAACCGTGTATGTAGGCTATATTTTTTTATTTTCAATTATAGGTAATAAACTTACCCAAAAGCTCTCTACGTAGTGAGAAAAAAGGAAAACTCCCGGAAGAGACATCGTAGCCAGCTTAACTTCACAACTTGACTGACAGAGGGAACACACTGCGGTTTTTATTTATACACTTTTTGTTTACTAACATCACATAGGAATTCCTTTATCTGTGTCGATAGGTAGCTCAAACACGAGGTCGCTCACGGGAGTCGCCCGGGCAGCCCGCGAGCCTCGTCACTAGCGACTGAGAATCCGCCAACACGTTGCGCCCCTATATACCTACTTACTTCTTGTTTTGCCTGAATGATTTATTTCACGCTCTATATCCACGAATTAATAATTATGGATTGTGGATATCGAACAGCAAGTGTGCGTTGCATACGAACAGTACACACGTGACTAACTAATCATCTTGTTCGACTTTCTTGCCGGTCGTCGCTAAATATTAATTATGTTGACCTAATAATGTATCTTTCGGGAAGGGCACAGTCATGAAAAAATAAGTAAATTAGTCCAAGGCCTTATAGATACCTTACTTCTCGAGTACTTAGGTACAGGATAAAGACATGCTTATAGGTAGGTAATCTATCAACCGACAAAGTACCTAAATTAAATACCTTAATGTTTGCTATAATCTGCTTAAACAATAAACTAAACAAATAAGCAGTTAAACTGTGCTAATATTTGATAAAAATATTTTTACCGCCTTCATAAATGGAAGAGTGAACGGCCTAAAGATTCCTTACAAGGTCATGACTAGGTATTCGTTAAAATTAAATATTGGGAATCCTGAAAGTGATATCGCAATTAAAACATTTTCGTCTGTATAATTAGGTAGACGTTGTAATAATAAAGTATCATTGATAATGCCAAAGAATCACGGAAATAATATTCTTACATAGACACAAGCGCCATCTGCGCATTAGGTTTGACAAACAAAAACAAAAAAATGGGAATAAATAAAACTAGGACTGAAATGAAATTAGACCTTGCCAAATATACCGAGGTCACCTTGTATTTAGCTCCCGGCAAAAGTTCGAAGGACGCCCGGGTAGGTTACCTACACGCTAAGAGCCAACACGAATTACCCCGACATATTTTTTTATTATTTCTCATGTCAAGCTTTTAATTTATATACCTAGCTTTAAATTGCTATAAATATTTATATAAAAATAACAACATGCACTCTGTAGATATAAATTAAATATGGCCACCAGATCATTAACACAGTGAATTCTTTCGACATTTTACAGTTTTCGCGGAAGCAGACTTATTTTAGGTACCACTTTTCACTATTTATGTTATGAGTCCCCTGTAATAGAGGGTGAACTTATTGCCATATAATGGGCACATATCCAAACTCCGTGCTACTACTGAGATTTTTTAAAACCCAATAATACTTTGCCCGACCCGGGAATCGAACCCGAGACCCCTTGCCCGGCAGTCGCACTTGCGACCACTCGGCCAACGAGGCAGTGAAAAATAATTATTTTAAAAATATCCATTACAATAGATTCTAATTGCTCTACATTGTAATTTCAATAATTTAGGGATTGAATTTAATTCAAACAATAATAGTCGATAATAATGATGGATCGAACGTATGTATAGCGTACAGTCTAAGACAAAATAGGTATTGATTTATTTTTTTTAAATAGTGTATTTCAATATTAAACAAGGAAATATTAATGAATTTCAATATATGTACTAATGGGACGAATTTTCATGACTGAAATTCAAGTAAAGAATTAATGCAGTTTTAAATATTCCCGCTATTAAAGCCTCGTTTCACTAATTAACCATTAATGATGTCGTTTAGAAAATTAGCCCACTAGCCTGACTTAATAAACTATAATAGACATAATATTTTATAAATAACATTTTGTATCCATTTAAACAAAACCAATTTCTTTTAAATTTCTTCTATTTTTCAGATTATTATAATTTTATTTTATCATCATTTCTTGCCACGCGAAAACTCCCCTTTAAATAACATACGGTTCCTTCTACGCAGCAAGACACTATTCAACGAAATCACAAAGCATGCCGATAAAATTTTCTCAATGGGAAAGTTTTACGTAAAATTACTGTTATTAAATGCATTATTAAACATACAAATTCATTGTGAAATAAAATAACAACAAGAGAAAAATAAACATTAAAAATTTGCACTGACAATGAACTTGAAAAATGAAACGTTTACATGAAAGAAAACGTCAAAGGCTAATTTTAGCTATAATTTTAAAACTGACAATCTGTATTGTATTAGTAGGAAATTAACTGGAAAAGAAACATCAAAATAATTACTTATACGATGTTAGACCTTACATAATACATCACCGTCATCGTCTTATGCTCTAAACGTTCAGGTCAAAGGCTATCGCTATCGTAAAACTGCGACTACAAAATAAAATAAGGGAAAAGGAAAAGACTAATATTCGTAAGGACATAATATATCTTTTTGAGAAGTATTTTTAAAATGCAGTTCAAAAAAGTCACTCATGTATTGTTCGATTTAGACGGATTACTACTGGGTAAGATTTTAAAAATACCTATTGCATGACAATTAAATAGATGGTTGTTAAAATTAATTCAGTAAGTAGGTATGATGCAGCGATTGTGCAATACAATTTATGAAATTATTGTTCTTATTTATATGTTTTCAGATTCTGAAATATTATACACTGAAGCCTTTACTAATGTTTGTGCTAAATATGGAAAAACCTTTACCTGGGAAATCAAAGCTAGCCTCTTGGGATTCCAAGGTCATGAATGTGCTGAAAAAATAATTAAGACATTGGACCTACCGATTACCAAGGAGGAGTTTATGAAGCAGAGTTTCCAATATTATGAGGTACTGTTCCCTAAAGTGCAGCTTATGCCAGGTAAAATTAAATTTGGAAATCCACTGCATGATGTGTGTACATATTCTATTTATAAATTCAATACTACCACTTCAATAAATCTTATTTTTATTTCACCAATATCTACACTAACTTTTACAATTACTTGACATTTAAGCTACTTGGTAAATACCTTAACAATTAGTCATTATTACAGATCAAACAAATATCCAGATGGATATTTTTTGATAAGTTTTATTGCTCCTTACACTGAGCTCTAAATTTTTAATCTATTATATACTACCCTTGTAAGCAGAAATATTTTAACAAAAAACACCATAATCAAAAATTTCTCATACAAGTTAATCAAAACTTTTACAGGAGCTCAAAAGTTAGTAGAACACTTGCATCGGAAAGGAGTTCCAATAGCTCTGGCCACTAGCTCCAGCAAGGACAGTGTGGATATGAAGATGCAGAACCACCAGGAGTTCTTGAGTCTTTTCCAACACCTCACTATGGGATCCACAGATCCAGAGGTCACTAAGGGCAAGCCAGACCCTGCCATATTCCTAGTCTGTGCATCTCGATTTCCTGATAAGCCAAAACCAGAAGATGTAAGTTGGTAGCATAAAACCCTTTTAGTTATATTCTTGATAGTGTGTCCATGCATTGGTTTGTCAGAAGCTAAAAGAAAATTTGTTTTCCAGTGCCTTGTGTTTGAAGATGCCGTAAACGGCATAAAAGCTGCTAATGCTGCCAACATGCAAGTGGTAGCCGTGCCTGATCCTCGCATTGAGGCTGAACAACTGCAGACTGCTACATTGGTTCTGAAGTCTTTGGAGGACTTCAAACCTGAGTTATTTGGTCTTCCAGCTTACGATAATTAGGATAATTTGTGTTATAAGTACTTGTTGGTGCTTGTATGTAAATATTGTCAATTTGTCAATCAACATATTGTTTATGATCAGTACTTATTATTTTAGTTACAACTACATAAGTAGAACTAAATATTTTTTTGGTGTCACATTGTTAATTGATAAACATTTAATGTTTTTCAATATGTATAGTATAAAATACAGACAGTATTACACCTCTTACAAGTACCTGAATATGTTAAACATTGACCTCGATAATATATATCTAGTCATATTTGAAATAAAAAACAGAACTACACAGCACCATTTTGTAGTTTTATTTCAACAAATAACTAAACTTTACAATAATATATTCATGTTTAGAACACTTCCCTTTGGGTCTACTTTAAATATGATATAATATAAATAATCACAAGTAAATAAGTACATCAACACATTTTATTCCAAGAAATTAATTGCTTTAAAAAATAATTTGTGTAATCATTGGCATACTTTTAATTTTTATATGGCGGTAAACCAAATAGTTCTGGTTTGAAGTCTGCAATGGAGTCCAATACTAGCGTGGCCTCTGAAGCGATCGAACGATCCAGACGCGGGTCGGGCACCATGACGACTTGCATACCCGCTGCACGCGCCGCCTTCACTCCGTTGAGAGCGTCTTCGAACACCAAACACTAAAATGAAAATAAAATACTGATATTAAAAATAAAACCAAATTCACGATGACTATTTGAAAAATGTTTTTTATAATAAAAAATTCACTAACTACTTTTTCTAGATTATTTTAATGTACTTAAATAATTAATGTTCATCATGTTTTTTTAGTAGTACCTACATGAATAGTTAGTTGCTTGAAGTCTGTGTCATGGACCTGGATGGATCACTTTGTGCAGATGTTTTTAGTAGCCATAATAGCCCTTTCTTAACGTTATTTCCATGCATGAATATTTATGATTTCTTAACAGATTGACAGTGGTTGGTTTCACATAGTACCTATCAGGTATAAAAATTACCTTCTCTGGGGCTGGTTTGTCTGGGAATTTGTTGGCAGCCACAAAAAAGATGTCGGGAGACGGTTTGCCCTTTTTCACCTCAGGGTCAGATGTTCCCCATGTTTTGCAAGGAAACAGGTTGAATAGCTCTTGATGATTGACGGCCTTCAAATCGTAAGACTCCTTACTACTGCTTGTCGCTAATCCAATAGGAACATTGTGGTCGTGGAGGTGACGGACTAGTCTTTCAACTCCTGTAAATTGTAATATCTTTTATAGGTAGGTACTTAGACTTTGTTCTCTTCACATAGGTATTTAATAATAGAATTGAGCTGATTTCAAAAATAATGAAGTCTCGTAACTTGAAGTAATAATGTCGCGACTCTCATAAACTTATATAGTTTCTTAGGGCCTAGGACTCCGTGCTTACCTTCACCAACAAGTTATGGGAAAATAAAAAAGAATTGTTGCGATTGTTGAGTGGGAACCTAAAAAACTACAATGGCGTTAGACTATCGACTCATTTTAAAAAAAATCGTAAATTAACAAGAAATTATTTATTACTTTATGATTCATGATACTACAAGTACAAAGATAATGAATTCTCACCAGGCATAATCTTGCATTGCGGAAATAAATTATCGAAAATCGCTCGAGTTTCTGTTAAGAACTCATCAACTGTAAGTGGCAGGCCAAGGTCTTCGATAATAATTCCTGCGAACTCTTTACTTTGCTGACCCATAATTTTACATTTCAACTCAAATGTAAATTCTTTTCCGAACCGAGATGCTACTTGCTGGAACCCTATTGTATACAGCTCCTCTGTATCTAAAAAAGAAAATTTTCTATTTAAATAGATATCAAAGTAATAATAATGTTTTAATGATTGATTCACACTTACTTAATAACAAGCCATCCATATCAAACAAAACATGTGTCACAGGTTTGAACATTTTTATTTATTTTTAATCAAATAATACAATAAATAAGTTAATGTAAGACCCTGTTTTATTTCACAATCTGTACTCTATGTATGGCTTCTACAGTAATGCCATATGACTGAGATGTTGTTATGTTAATTAATATCTTATCTCAAATGTCTGTCCAAGCCTTTACATAACTAATACATAGGTAATTAAATCACAGCAATGGTTTTGTACAGTTTATGATATATTATGCCACTTATTATTTATTTTAGAGATGCAATAAGTAATGCATCTTATATTTTAGATACTTTGTATCCTTTCTTAACCTTGGTATTGGTAATATCATTAACTTGAATTTGTACTTTACAATTTATTTCCAGAGTGCACATAAATGTTGCATGACAGATGAATTTGTAAATTTAATAATATTGTACTATTCATTCTAATTTAATATTTGATTGAACAATAATGTACAATTGTGTTCAAATTGTGATAAAAGTGTGCAATCTATTTAGGTACTCAGTGGAAATAGAGTTTTGCTATTATATTATACACTCATCATTTATATGGTTAAATCATACATGATGTATGTCTAGTAAAAATAAATAAACAACAATAAAAATAAAATTAATCACAATAATAAAATGCATTAAAGTTGTAACAAAAAATCTCATATAAGAGGTAGACAAACAATTCAAAAAAAAGAAAGAAAATATTTGATTATGTTAATACTAAAATTTGAATGGCGGTAAACCAAAGAGTTCAGGTTTAAAGTCTAGTAAGCTGTTGATCACTAGAGTAGCATCATTTGTCAACTCCTTGGGTACCCTGGGATCTGGTACCATAACAACCTGCATGCCAGCAGCTTTGGCTGCTGTTACTCCATTTACAGCATCCTCAAAGACAAGACACTAAAAAAAATTGAAGGAATATAATTTTTATTAAGAGGTTTAAAAATTATACCTTCTATAAAAAAAATATTTTTCGCTTGTTCTAACTGATAACATAGTTATCAAAATAATTTGAAAATAATGTTTTACCTGTTCTGGCTTTGGATTACCGGGGAATTTCTTAGCAGATACCAAAAATATATCTGGATGAGGTTTCCCATTCTTAACTTCAGGATCAGATGATCCAAATGTCTTATAAGGAAATAGATCAAACAACTCTAAGTGATGCTTGGTGACTTTCAAATCATAACTGTCTTTGCTTGAACTTGTTGCAAGTCCAATAGGAACATTGTTTTGGTGGAAATGTTCTATCAGCCGCTTGGCACCTATAAATAGATAGTTATAAGTTGTAAGTTAAGTAGTTGTCTAATCTGTGGTCAAGTAATATTTTTCATTTAACTTTATTTATCATTTTACCTGGCATCAATTGAGCCTCGGGAAATAACAATTTAAATTGTTTGTTACTTTCTTCAATGAATTCTTCAATGGTCATTGGTAACTCGAGTTCAGATACAATCATTTTAGCTGTTTCAAGAGATTGTAATCCCATTAATTTAAGTTTCAATTCAAAAGTGTAATTTTTCCCATAACGGGAGACAATGTTTTGGAATGCTTCTGTGTATAACTCTTCTGTATCTATAAATAAAGGTGGTGAATGAATAAAATGTCTGTATGCATTTGTCTACCTCATACATGATATCGAGCTTTAAGTTGCACTTTATGTTATAAAGGGCAACATACTTTGACTTAATCTCAACAGATATGAAAGTTCTAAGCCCAAACTAAACCAAAGGGTTCAGCAGTTTTAGCTAGAAAATAACGCAGAGCAGTGGAAAACTATAATATTAAGCAGGTGTACATTAGCTCTAAGTTTTGTTTTACTTTATTACTACAAATAATATTCGTCTCAAAACTTACTCAGTATCAAACCGTCCATATCAAAAAGAACGTGTGTTACCGGATTAAACGCCATTTTATATTAGAATTTATTTGACAGTAGTAATTTTTAAATTAATGTAATAAAATATTTATATTGTCATAACCTACAAAGGTTTAGTAGGATAAATAAACCACTATGCACATTAGCCTCTAGGAATGTGGGTTATTGAACAAATAATTTTAAATAAAAACTAATTCATAAAAGCCTAAAAGTGCAAAAAACGGACTTTATACCGAATAGATTACAAAATATGCAATCAGTGTCATGTTCATGCACAAATTACGATTTACGAGTTACGACACGTATATTTAATAGTTTTGGATTTGGACAGGACAGTGGCAGTGACAGTGACACTTTGGTCAGTAGACTGTCACTCTGTCAGTGCTGTCACATTTGGTGACACCATTTTACGCAGCATAATTTTTGTAGAAAGCTTAAATAAGCAATAATAAGTCGAAAATAACGAGTCAGACTGATAAATAACTAAAAGGTCTAACTGATTACAACATGGTAACGGAGGCCCGTTCTTACCCCCTTCCCCAATCTCCCCAATCCCCGAATAATCCTCAAATTCAATCCCGAAAAGGCCGGTAACGCACTCATAACACCTCTGGTGTTTCGGATGTCCATGGGCGGCGCCGATTGTTTAGGTACAATCAGGTGATCCGTTTTCTAAAACTTATTTCATAAAAAAAATCACACAATATAACTTTCATTGGATTAGATGTATTTCAATGTAAATGATAACAAAAAAATAAAAAGATCTTTATGATAAGGGAAGGAACTCGCATCATTAAAAAAAACCTTTACCTTTTTAATTTAAACTGTAGATTTTGTGCTTAACCCAAAGAGATAATAAGTATAGGGGTTGCTTAATCCATGCATGTACTTACAATCAAACATACACATGGATTAAAATTAAATGGTTCAAATGGTTGACTTTGAATTCAATCAAGATCGCAATATTAAAAAATAATAAAACAAAAAGTAGCGCGATACTGGTAACATTGATGAACTATTTTCAAAAACTTGTTTTGGTTATTATAATTTGTAAAAAATAATTACAACACTTTTCCCACACGCTTGAATGAAGCGTAATATTATGATTGATTGTTGTTAAGTGCTCAACTGTAGAAATTTGTTAAGTGATAATTGTACAGTGCCTCGTCTTTTGAGAGGCTAAACAAGCGATATGGATGGCCCCGGAATGAGTTTGTTTCAAGGTGCAGCGAGTATCCACATAAACAATAGTGCTCAAGACAGACTAGAGGAACAGGAGGAACTGGAAGACCAGAAACGAAGGAATGAGGAGGTCGGTTGGTCGTAAACAATGTAAACTTAATTGATCTGTCAAAAGCTGTGTACAATGAGTGCTTGTTGCGTTGTGATTGTGTTAACAACATTGTAATATTGTTCTATTCTTTTTAGTTGAAACATAAGTTGGCTAATGCCTTCGATGACCTGTTGGACGACGATGAGGCTAGCTCAGTCAACAGTAGTGGCAACTATACATTGGATCCAGCTCAAAGCAATGGCGGTTGGTACATAATAGCTATCTATTCAGTTATTACTCTGCTAAATGTTTATAGGCACCACAATCACTTAAAATTTAACAGTCACTTGTAGTTACAAACAAGAAAATAACTTGGGTGTTGATTACTTTGTGTTGTGTATAATGGAACTTTAAGAATGTTTGCAAAAATACATTAGGTTGTTGTTGCTTACAGTATGTTTTATTGTCTATTTACATTACATTTTTGATACATATCTATAACAATTACTTTCTAACAGCTACTTTGTGTTTCAGTCCAACAAACAAGGACGGGTTTGCCACCAACTTATGTGGAGTCCCTAAACCACTTAAAAGAGAATGAACATGGTTCAGAATCACCCAAGTTGTACTGTGAGACTCCCAAAAACCATGTTGGTCACATGAGACATCAGGAGGAAGCTTTAAAAGCACAATTTAGTCCCTATGGCGCTGGTGATGGTCAAAACCATTATTTCCAACAAGAATTTAGAGGTATTGTGGTCTTGTCTATTGAATTCTGTCAAAGTTTATGTTGTATGAATTTTATTATTAGATAGAAATGTCATCAATAAAGTTATGGTCTAGCCATAATAAAGACAACAAAGAATATTATGTATTAAATGTTGTGTACAAATTTTCAGGTCACATGAATGGTATAAACAACTGTGACAGACAAGAATACATGAACAATGAACAACTTAAAGTTATGTATGATGTAAGTAGAATAAATCTTATCTTTTACTATTATAAAAAGCTGAAGAGTTGTTTGTTTGTTTGAATACACAAATCTCTGGAACTATTGGTTCAATTTGAATCTCTAATTTATTTTGTGATGGATAGTCCACTTATCGAGAAAGGCTACAGGCTATAAAACATCTCGCTATGATCAATAGGAGCAGAGCGGGTAAAACCACAGAGAGAATAGCTAGTCCATTATAAATTAATTAATATCCGTTTGCTAGATATCATATGAATTATAATATACAATAGAAAATACGACACAATGTCGCATGTGAATCCACAGTACAATACACCAACTAAATAAAAAAATGTATTATTTTATATTTGGATTGTTTTAAGTTCATGTCTATTACTATACTCGGAATTTTAATTCGATTCCAGATTTGACAATTTCAGTGTTGCAACGTTATGACAAGTACTAAATAGTGACGTTGCGAAATTATTCGATATGGAAATGCAATATTTCTGGATCGATTCTTCTAGTTTATAATTTTACTCTCGTAAACTAAGTATATCAGGAAATTAAATATTTCTGAACCGATAATTTAGTTTTGACGATTAATTAACGATCTGAGACTTTTCTTTTATAATTGTGTGTGAAATAAATAAAAAAATGTAATCATGAACGAACATGACAAATAAAACAGATAGATGTATTATGGTAATAAGTTATTTTATTAACCGACTTCAAAAAAAGGAGGAGGTTCTCAATTCGACCGTATATATGCTTTTTTTTTTTTTTTATGTTTTGTTCGCCGATATCTCCGTTGTTTAAAACCGATTTTAAATTCTTTTTTTGTTAGAAAGGAGATAGTTCCAGAATGTCCCATGATAAGGAAATCAGGATCTGATGATGGAAGACCAGGGAAACCGAGGGGAACTTTTAAAAATTATAGGGACTAGGGCATTTGTTAATTTTTTCATTAAGTATTAAAAACCACTACAATCTGATAAAGGTCTGGAGCCGATCTGATGATGGAGCCGAGAGCCAGTTGAGGGAACTCCTCAACGGTTAACAGTAGCTACCTTGTGTTTGGGTTTGATTAATTTGTATTGATGAGGACTTTACACCTGTGTGGGATGTAATTGTCAATAAGGGTCTGATGATGAAGTAGTACAATAGTCGAAGGAACTCCTCAACGGTTAACAGTAGCTACCTTGTCTTTGGGTTTGATTAATTTATATTGATGAGGACTTTACACCTGAGTGGGGTGTAATTGTCAATAAGGGTTTGATGATGAAGTAGTACGATAATTGAGGGAACTCCTCAACGGTTAACAGTAGCTATTTTGTTGTGTTTAGGTTTGATTAAATTGTATTGATGAGGACTTTACACCTAGATTGGGGTGTAATTGTCAATAAGGGTCTGATGATGAAGTAGTACGATAATTGAGGGAACCCCTCAACGGTTAACAGTAGCTACCTTGTGTTTGGGTTTGATTAATTTGTATTGATGAGGACTTTACACCTGAGTGGGGTGTAATTGTCAATAAGGGTCTGATGATAAAGTAGTACGATAGTTGAGGGAACTCCTTAACGGTTAACAGTAGCTATTTTGTGTTTAGGTTTGATTAATTTGTATTGATGAGGACTTTACGCCTAGATGGGGGGGGGGGGGGGATGGTCATTAAAGGTCCTATGACGAAGTAGTATGATAGCTAAGGGACTCCTCAATGGTTAAGAGTACCCACCCGGTGTTTGAACTTGCATAATTTGTATTGATGAAAACTTTGCATCCATGTGGGTTTTGTATAAATATATATCAAAGTACTAAACTAAAAAGTATAAAATAAAATTAAAAAACTGCGTTTAAAAAAACCGACTTCAAAAACAAATGGCAAACAAAAAGTAAAAACTAAAAAGGAAAAAAAAACTATTAGTGGTCATACGTACTTATAGCTTACACACCCACTGATAAGAAGTCGGTGCCACAAACCCACAATAAAATATAAAGTAGATAAAAGTCACAGCTGGTATAATCCATAATAAAATTGTAAACAGCTCAATAATGTTAGGTATCTATTAAGGTTTTAATGAATAATTTTGTTTAAAACTTGTGGCACCGACTTCTAACCTATCAGTGGGTGTGTAAGCTATAAGTACGTATGACCACTAATAGTTTTTTTTTTCCTTTTTAGTTTTTACTTTTTGTTTTAAATTGTCGCCGTCATCGCTATCGCTATCCTGTCACTTTCTGTAACATTTATTATAAAACACACACACTGATTGTTTATCGATTTTTGTGTCCATCACTACACTATTATATGTGGTATCATTATTTCACAAAATGACAGTAGCTATTGTCAAATCTGGAATCTAATTAAAATTCTGACTATAGTCTTACTTATTAATATGACATGTTCTATGTATAAACAGATCCGAGTAAAAGAATGTCAGCAGTTAGCTGGGCAGTTGCAGAAGCTGGACACTGAGATAGACAGCTTACGAGCTCGTCTCGCTGCCGCCATCAATGACAGAGACAAGGTTGAGTTGTCACTTCAGGAAGCTCATCATTTGCTTGGTATTATTCGTTCCTTGATTATTATTCTAATTCTTAAGTGGTGCTTGATTTTCTCCATTCAACTGAGTTGTTGATTGTTGTTTAAGCATATTAATAAAGTACAGTATTAAGTGTAGCATATTTAAGCATAGCCTTTAAAAAAACTACAAATTTTAATAAGTTCAAAAAGAAGAAAACAAATATGAATTGTATTGATTTTTTCCAGCATCAAGTAAGCACAAAATTATTGAGCTGGAGCAAAAAGTAACAGCCCTGACTGAGAAGTTAGTAGAAAGTGACCAGGAGAAGGATCAGCTCAAATTGGAACTCCGCTCAGCTAATATCAGCCTACAGGATGTACAGCAAAGACTTCATACTCTTCAGGTAAGATAAAGAATTCACAAACTCCTTTTTATATCCATTAGAAAAGGTTTTAGTTTTTGCTTTAGTGGTATGAAGAAATAATTGATACAAAGTCTATGTTTACAGGTGGCCCACACACATGATACTGATGCTTTATTCAGGGAACAGCAAGATAGGTATGTATTCCGAACAATATGGATAAGATATGGGTAGAATAATAATTTTACTAAACAACACGACATTTTTTCAGACATCGTGATGAAATGGAAAGATTACAAAACGATTTGACTAAAGCTAAAAATAGACTTGACGAAAAAGTAAGTATAAACCAAACACAAAAATATCCGAAACTTCAATAATGTTATATTTTCATACACAATACAATACAATTAATTTTGTAAATTCACAGGACAACGAAATAAAGACACTAGAACGACGATGTATGGAGAAAGACAGGGAGAAGGAAGACATTTTGATAGAAAAAGGCGCCACTATAAACAGATTAGCCAGTGAACTAGAGGCTGCACAGAGTAGACTTGTGAATGGAGAGACCACAAAGCTTAAAGAAAAAGTGTCTCAACTAACTACTGAAAGAAATGCAGCTAGAGAACAAGTGAAGGAGATGGGAGTAAGTTTTATATTAAAATTGTATTAATGATGATTTAGTTGTTTTCCCAATCACACATTTTTTTATATCCTACTGAATTTCTTGCTTACTGCGAGGCTTTGGGCACGCAGTAAGATCAGTCCTTTTCTCTTCGAAAAAAAGGTAGTATTTTTAAATTAATACTGAAAATAATATTTATTTATTTTTTCTAATACTCATTCCTTTTTGAGCTGCTTACATTACGTTCTGAAACTTATTAGTTATTCTGAAGCCTTGGAAAATTTTTGAATCGTTCTTTGAATTCGTTACAATATAAATAATTTTGTTACAGTCTAAGCTAGAGTTGACGGCACATGAGTTAGTTCTATACAGAAACAAACTAGCTGGCACACAGAAGGAATATGAACACTGGAGAACAACACTACACCAGATTCTAATGGAGTCTTTACCTGAAAACACTTATATTGGTAAGTGGCCTATACTATCCTATGCTGACTATTGGTGTTACATTGTTCTCACATAATCGAATTAAAAAAACAATGTAACCAAGATATATACCTATGGAGGATCTATGAAGTTTCTTGCTCGTTCTTCTCCATAAGAATCTATAATTTGAAACGAGGAAATAGCTTCATTAGAGGACTGACGAACAGACTGACATTTTTAATATTTGTTTGACATTCAACAGTGCCTTCTTGGTCTAATTGAAATAAATGATTTTGACTATGCTTTACTGATGAAGAAAAACATATTGAGTTTACTGTTATAAATTATAGAACAGTTAATGCACTTCTAAGACAAGTGAAATATATAAGCAGACCTTAATAAAAATTCTCTTATTTTCAGGTGAACCACCTTCTCCAGGAAAATTGTCGACTCTCAAAGAAGTTTTGAGCAGATACAAAATACAGATGCAAAAGTTATCGACATTACAGGAAGAAATTAGTAAAAGGTAAGATAGATCAAATGTTATGGGGTACTTACCTCAAATTGAATAAAATTGTAGGTTTTCATACAAAAGTATTCTTTGTACATTTTAAAGGAAACTAAAGTATGATATATATTTCTTATTTATTACAGGGATAAAAAGATAGAACAGCATCGCAAACAAGAATTGGATCTTCGGGCGAAATTCGAAGAGCAGAAAGGTCTAGAGATGCAGCTCAACTCTCGTATGGCAGTGTTACAGAACAAGCTCGAGTTACTCGGCAGTAACTCTGACAGTGAACTGCTTGAGAACTATAAACAGCAGAATGAAAGTCTACAAGCTGAACTAGAGGAAGTTAGGAGTGAATTGAAAAATGTATGTATGAAACACGACTTTAAACATTTACTTATTATAGTCTACATTACTTGCATAGACTTGGTTTATGTTTGTTATAAATGTACATTAGGCTAAGTACATTGAGGTAAAGGCCTTCCCTCCGTGGCTTCGTGAAATATATAGGGCTTGATATAATTATATTTTATTATATGGGTGTATTTTTTTTTATGTTGTTCTTTCCAGTTGGATCTCAAACACACTCAACTAGAATTAGACTACGAGAAGCTCAAATCAGAAAAAGGCAGCCGCGCGTCTATCGTGCAAGAAGCGAATGCGGATTTGTTGCGCGAACTGGAACGTTATAGCTGCCAGCTCAAAGACACGCTCAAAGAGAATGGGGAGTTGAAAACTTTATATCTACAGGTAGGTAACAGGGTTTATTTACAAAAGAAATGTCTATCTATACTTATAAATTTCTCAGCCAATTAATTATGTACGCTGAATACGTTTTTTTAGTTCATTTTATATTTAGTGCTTATCAGACGAAGAAGAGATTTTAAACCTTATCGACTTGCAGTAAAGAAAATCTATTATCTAGTTGTGTGTGACAGACAAGAAATTTGACTGAGTGTTCGTTAGATGTAGATCCATTTATGTCAATGACATTTTGAAATGATAAATAATATTGAATTCCAGGCATGTAGCTCTCGCGACACAGTATCAAGGGAACTAAAAGACTTGCAATCAAAAATACAAAAAGAGAAGGAACTCTACAAATCACAAGAGATGGACTATGTAGAGAGAATGGAGAAGCAGAAGCAGCACATAGAGAAGTTGATGGCAGAGTTGAACAACTGTAAAGAGGAGTTGGATAGAGCCAACAAGAGAATATCGGAGTTGCAGAGGGAGTTCACTGATAAACAGAGAGAGTTTACTGAGAAACTTGATAAATACTTACAAGGTTGGTATTTTAGATTTTTCGTTTATTAGGTTTGATAAATATATGTTCAAGATGTTATGTTCCGCAGTAGACATCCTATGGTTGATATTATGATGCTAATGATCAATAAATAATATCAAATTAACTTAAAATCGCGGATTACTCAAGTAAACATGCGCGGTCACGGTAATGTCGCGCAGCCTACTAGCTAGCGTTGGCGCTTACGTCAGTGTGATTCCTTGCGCTTGCGCTGTGCTGCTCATGAGGAAGAATCCCTCTACGTTTCGAAACTAGTAGAGCTTTTCTCAGTATTTTCACGTGAGTAACCCGCGATTTTTAGTTAATTTGATATTATTTATTGATCATTAGCATCATAATATCAGCCATAGGATGCCTACTGCGGAACATAACATCTAGAACATATATTTATTGATAAGTAGAGCATAATGATACTTGGATATTACACAATTGGTTAGGTATATGCCTTCTTGTAATTGGTCCCTAAATCAGGCAAAATATTATTTTAAGCTTCTGCTTTTTTGATTTTGAACTTTTGATTTACCAAAACATGTTATGTGTAGGTTTTAATCCACCTTCAGTAAGCTGAAGGTACACATTTTAAAATCTCTAGCATTATTTGTGTGAATCTAAAATACTTAGTTAATAAACTTTGTTCTCCAGATGAAAAGTCAGCCATGCGAAAAGAGAGGGAGCCGTGTGCGCACTGTGAGAAGCATGTGAAACATATCAAGTATTTAGATGATCAGCTCAGCAAATGTACTATACGGTTGGGTAAGTGTACTTTCGAAATATTGTAATTAATGTCATTCTTATGTAAGCTATGAACAAATTCACTATCCTCTCTATGGCTTAGGCACTTTCTTAAATCCATGACCTTTTTTAAACTGGACAGACACTCAATTCCATATAACCTGTAATACTTATTACTGCCCTCAATCCCACGATACAGGAGAAAATCCTAGTGTGGGGCCCATCTACTAAATACAACCGAATTTGAATTTAATAAATATTATATTCTATCAGCGTCTCAAGAAAGCAACGAAACATTAATGAAGGAGTTAAAAGGCAAGGCGGAGTTCTTCCAGCAGTATATAATAGACCGGTTCAACAAGCTACGGGAGCAGCGCAGTATTGGTACTAACACGGAGGAGCGGCCGACTAGTCCGCGCTCGCAGGCCTCGGAACATTCTAGCATTGAACAACTGGTGCAGGATTGTGATGATGCTATGGCTGCTAAGGTATTGTAAAATGCATTTATTGATATAAGCATTGGACTGGCATTTGATTGTCTATGCCTAGGCACAATATGCGTACTTGAATATTTTTTTTGTTTATTGCTAATTTTTTTTAAAGTTGCTTGATTTCAAGATGTTATTTTTTATTCTTATTGAAGCCTTTCGTGACTAAGGACAGTGAATGGAAATGCAAGTATTGTGTTTTCTCCGCTTTTGTGAAACTATAATCCACATAATTAGTGCATCGAATATTTTCTACTTACAGACCGCCCTGATGATGAAAGAGAAAGCAATAAGAGACCAAATAGCTGAAAAGTTTACACTAGAAATGAAAACAGTAGAGATGAACTGCGCGAGACGTATTAAAGAAATTGAGAACGAACACATTGAAACAGTTGGCAAAATAAAAGAACTGCTTGAGAGAAAAGCGAAGGAGGTTGAAGCGTTAAAAGAGTTTATACTCGCAGAGAGGGCTAAAGTCACACAGATACTGGAATCTAAAGAAAGTGAGATTTCAGAACTCATCAAAGAACATAATGAACTACAAAATGAATGTCAGAAAGCTAAGGACACTATCTTGGATTGGAAACAGAAAGCAGAGAGGTACAAGGAAAGAGCGTCACGACTCGGTTCTTTAGAAGACGTTCTAAAGCATGAACGAGAAGATTTCAAACAGCGAAGCAGTTCTACGAGTAAAGAATGCACGGCGATGAAAACGAAAATCGCAGAATTGCAAACGAAAATAGCTCAATTAGAACAGAAATATGAGAAGCTGCAAGCTGAACATAAAGTTATACAAGACAAGTACAAGAATGCTAAGAAAACTATTTTTACTTATAAGGTAGGTTATGCAAATTTTCAATACTTTTAGTTTTATTCAAACATAGAATGAAAATGATAAAATGATAAAAAAAATATTTTTGCAGGATTATGTAACGAAAAAGGATGCTCACGTGAACAATGAAATGAATAGAATACAAGACGAGTACAGGAAGATATTCATAAAGCTGCAGAGTCAGTTGAATTATCACATCAACTGTAGGCTGCAGGAAGAGAGGAAGGGAAAACAAGCGCAGGCGCACAACTCGCAACAAACCGATGTAAGACTTTAAAGGATTATTTATTATTAACTCATGTTAAATTACCTAAAATATAGATAGCTTGTAACATATGTTTACAATTCCAGTATACTGATAGAATAAACAAACTCAACGATGATTTCACGCGACTCACACAGTCCAACTTTATGGACGGACCAGACTTCAAGTGACAGCGGACTAACCGGAGATTGCGAGTCACGGTCACAACCAAACGACTACTTCAATGTAAAACACACAACGGCCCCAGAGTTTGTACTTAATGTAGTTATACAAACATTTAAAGTATTATGAAAAGTTTTAATAAGGATAATGCAAGGCATATTTCTCAGGGAGAACTGATATAACGTTAAGACTGTATAAAAAACTATGACAATCGCTCAAGCCCCACATAGTATAATTTTATAGAATTATCAATTTGGATTAAATTTAGATACCAGATCATTCCATTAACCATTTAGTGAATTGTTCCTGTGATAGTTAAGTACATTGTAGAGTAATGAAATGAGAACAGTATTACACAGTAAAGTGCAAAAATATATCTCACATTCCTCGAGACATGTCCAACTTGTATGATCATGTGAACACACAGGTAAGTACTAAGTATACCTGTTTGTGTCTATGGCCTTTTTTAAGAAAAGACTTGTTATATTAATGTAATGTTACTTTCAATTATTATTGTGTTAAATAGTAATAGCAATTTCAATTGTTTTCGTTAAGAAAAATGACGGAATTATATTTTATTGTATTGAATGGAGCAATTATATCTGTTATGTAAAAAGTTTTGTAAATAAAAGTATCATTTCATAAAATTAATTCTTTATTTTTTTATGTAGTACTTTGAAGGGATAAAAGGCATTTTAGCGACGACGCAGGGAATGTCTTTCCCTCTAATGTTTACTAAGAGCTCCGTGCCTGCCTTCTTCAGAGACTCGCTGACGTAGCCCATCGCAACGTTAACTCCAAGTGATGGGGCAGGACAGCCACTAGTTACAGTACCAACGGTTTCTGAAGTTTTAGCATCTTTCAACACCGCGTTTTTCCTTGCTGGTGGACCAGTTTCCATCCTGATTCCCACACGTCTTTTAGCTACGCCTTCCTTTATCTGACGCAGTATGATTGACGATCCTGGGAAGTTGTCATCGGTGCGTCTGCGTTTGGCGATAAGCCACGTTAAATTTGCTTCGACGGGTGTAACACTTTCATCGATGTCGTTGCCGTAAAGGCATAGTCCAGCTTCAAGACGCAACGAGTCCCTCGCTCCGAGGCCCGCAAGTTTCACATCGCTGGATTGTAATAATGCTTCTGTGACGTGTTCTGCATCGGCAGCGGGTATTGATATTTCCACACCGTCTTCCCCTGTATACCCACAGCGGGTTACACGACACTCTACTCCGGCTACTTTGCCCATTCTAGATGTCATAAACGTTAAGTCTTCCAGCTTAATATCCGTAAGGGTCTGCAGCACTGCCACTGCTTTAGGACCTTGCAATGCAATCAAAGCTCTCTGGCTAGTCTCCCAGAATTCTACATTCACGTCATTACCTTTCTTCCTGAATAACTCGGATGTTTCTCTCATATGCTTCTTGTCCTCCTTCATTCGCCCAGCGTTGGAGACAACATACAAAGTTTCTGCATTCACTTTTGTAACAATCAAGTCGTCTATAATTCCACCTTTGTCGTTCAAAAACACGGTGAGAGAACTGGAGCCATCTTTCATGCCCTTTAGATCGACTGGACAAATAGACTCGAACCAAGATATGCAATCCTTGCCACGAACGTTGGTCTGCAGCATGTGAGACACATCAAAAATTGAGGCACTTTTTCTTGTAAACAAGTGGGACTCGGATAAACTTAAATCCGAATATTGCACTGGGAGGAGGAATCCGGCGAAATCAACCACTCTTCCTCCATATTTCGTATGCAAATTGAATAACGGTGTCTTTGTCGCCTTAGGTTCGTTACTAAACCACCGCAAGGAAACTGCTCCTGGAATTATTTGCTTGGGAGCAATTACTTTTGGAGCAAGCAGAATTCGGGTACGTGCTATCGAACACATTTTCACTGTCCAAACTCTTACAATAATATGATTACACCATCGGACGGCCAAACAATATCTATAGTCGTTATGAGAAAAGGTCAGCGGTCAATCGGTAACTCCTGATAAGTATTAACGCTAGTTCGTTAGTGGTGGGAGTGTTTATTGGAAACATTTTACGCTATCGAAAACAAATAGTGAGCTAATGATAATTAGATCTTGCTCCATTACGATTCAATATTTAATAATTAAGAAGGTCGTTAACATTGTTTGGGTACTCTCATTATAAAAAACAATTCTAGAACTTCAATATTCAACACCATTTCATTCTTCAAAATTATATGGCTTTTGTTGATAAAATGAAATGATTACGAAAGTTTCTGTTAAGAGATGCGAGTACCTAGTAATGCTGATAAAGGAGATATTAAATCGACCTCTTTGTACATAGACAGACACTCGCATGCGTGATTGTGAATGTGATAGAAGCTAAAAAAGTGTGTAAGGGACATAGGTCATAGGTACTAAGTGGCGGTTTGGAGTTGCTGGCTGTGTGCTAAGGTGTCTGTCATGTTTGGATGTTAGCATAGTCAAAAATGAAATAAATAAAACAACATTTTAAAACAAACAAAATCTATTCTAATTTCTTATCTTCTTTACCATTTACACCGTTATTTAATAAATCTAAATACTCTTCCGGTGTCAATAATTCATTTTTAGTAGCTTCAGAAATAGCAATGCTAGATAATATTATAGCAATATAACCATCAGCATCGGGAAACTCCTTCAAGAGTTCAGGGTGGTTCACTAACTCTTCATTTACTTCTACTAAAGTACCTTTCATGCCACATGGAACATCAAAACTTGTGCCGTCTTCATATTCTATCTTGCATACAACTGATTTAGGGTTCAGAGCCTGACCTCCTTTCTTGCCCTTACCCTTAACAGCATTCTTCAACCTGTTTACATTACCTACTGTATAATTAACTTTGTACTCTTTGCTCTTACTAAAAAAGAAATGACTTGGCGCCAGGCACAAGAGGGCAATCCTGTTTGAATGGAACATAATCATGATATCATTATTCTTTACTCCATCAACATTTATAATGTATCTTTTGCTAAAATATCTCTCTGTAAATGACTTAAGATTGTTTAGGTCTGGTATTGAATCTAGTATGTTAGGCTCCATTGTAGTCATGTTTAATAAATGCTGTCAAAATGCTGTATGGTTAAGTTAATGCTGATGTTTAGCTCTCTCTTGTGCTAATATTCTGGCTCGGATTTCTGCGTGTCTACGGCGAGAGTCTTCGAGGTTGGCTTTCTGTCTTTGAAGGCGCTCTGCTTTCAAACACTTTCTCATATCCCGATCATAATCATTGCAATATCCCATAAACTTTCTAAATGGATGCTGTAACAAATAATATATCATGGAATTATTTACTTTGCATTCGATACTGATCAAAAGTCGTAGACGTCCTAAACCGAATGAAAACAATGAAGCGTGAACAAAGAGGTTATTATTTTCAAATATAGGAACGAATCAGGATCTGAAAAAAAGTAATTGCTTTAAGATATCTCTTGTTATATACGTTATTTTTATTTCACTCGTTATGCAATATTGTTTTATCTTACAGACCTACCTCAGTATGGCAGTCCATCAACTTTCGTATCAAAACATTGCATTCGTCTGTATGTAAATGGGCTGCTAAATCTGTGTGCATAACTAAGTATTTATTGTATATCTGTAAATATAGGATGTATTTATTATCAAATTAACCTTTTAAGTCTGCTTTCCAAAGGCTTATTAAAATATTGTCTGAAACCAAAACTGTTCAACAAGCTTCGATTTAGTTTGACATTTGCTTGACAGTTTAAAGCTTGACAGACATTTTTTAATCTATAAGTCACTAAGCATTTTATCGTGTAACGGATATTACACCAAACCATAGAAAATGAAACACAACATTTGCTTTGTGTTTCGTCGTGTGAGTGAGGTTACCGGAGGTCCAAACCCCGAATCCTCCATCCTTCAAAAATTCCCAATTCCCAAAAGGCCGTTACCTATCGCACTTGTAACGCTTTGGTGTTCCAGGTGTACATGGGCGACGCCGATTGCTTACCTTCAGGTGATTCGTCAGCTCGGTTACTGGCTTATGCCAATAAAAAAATGAACATTTAAAAAAATACACATACTTGTTTATGCCTGATTTTTCCCGAAAAATGGCATGTTTATATCTCACATTAGTTTGTTCATATTATTCAAGTTGATCAGCACTACTATCTGAATTTTATCCAAATAAACGATTGTGTCGAGGAAAATAAAACAGCGGTTTCTTTTTATTTTGTTTTTACTTAAATACATAGTCACATTGTGTCTCTTTAATAACTAACAAAGAGTAACGGCAAACACCGTTTAAGTACGGGATTTATTAGACCTAGTAGTAGGAATACCTACATTTACATACCTTAGAATAGATACAAGAGTAACTAACAAACTTCATCAATAATGACTAGTAATTTATTGCATTTTTGAGACAAGTATAAAAAACACCTCGATAATTAGGATTGGAAGTTGTCTTGCGTTTTCTATCATCACCACTAATAAACGCACGAAGAAAAATCACAATAAAACATACGATACGACATCATTCATCTCAAAAACAGGAACAAGCGAGTATTAAGCAAAATAAATTACAGATAAATACAGAAATGCGATGTAACGAAAATAACTAGTGATTTGATGCCCGATTAGATGAAGAAATGCAAAATGTGCCCAAAATAAATGTCCAATCCAATTGGCTAAAATTAAAAAGCGGGTGTATAGTGTGGTGCGGGTTTCGTTCGTTCGCGGAGGCATCAACTCTTGGGCATGCCCTGGGGCGTGGCGGTCTCCACCATCTTCTTGTACTTGCCGACGAGCTCTGGCAGGTCGTAAGCGATGGCGACGTCGAGCCGCGTGATGGGACAGCCCCGGAAGTACGTGCACGTCGCCGATAGCTGCTGGAACTCGAACAGGGGATTCAACCGGAAGAAGTCCCGGTACGTTTCGGGGTCAGGCAAGTCGTACCTAGAAATAAAAGTTTTGATTATTTTCCTTACATTACGAATGCATAACGTAGACGGTTGGAGTAGTTGTTAATTAAAGGGGTATTTGGGAGGCTGCTCCTCAGAAATACGATTTTTATGCAGACGTAATAGAGATGTTCACAATAACAATACTAAGCTACAGGGCCGGATTTAGGGGGGGGCAACCGGGGCGAAAGCCCCGGGGCCTCCACAATAGAGACTTCGGAAAAAAAAATCTTTCAAATTTCAACTAGTAAACCTAGTAAACATCTTTTCTTTGATATTTTTTTTTTTCGCTTTTACCTTTACCTACAGCCTAAAGTACTTTATACATACATGATTATTTGATTATATTGATTTTAAATATTAACAGAAACAGAAATCATTGATCTATATTTGTTCACTCCAATCAGGCAATCAGTGAAATATCAAAATCTCAAATGGCTCTGATAAGCACTTTCAATTTACTACCCATCTTGAGGGAGTACCCCAATGGCTCAATGGCTCAGTGGGATGGTACTTGCCCGCAACCTCGGAGGTTGGCTATTCGATTCCGTGTCTCGACCTATAATCGAATATATATATATTTTTTAATGTATGTAATGTATACATATAAATTAATTGCAGTATGTGAACAATTGGTATTCTTCAATTCTTAAACTCGAAATCTGTCGAGCGTCCTCGAAATCTATCGAGAGTCCTCGATCGTTTTCGAGCGTCCTCGAAATCTATCGGGCGTCCTCGAAATCTATCGAGCGTCCTCGATTGTTTTCGAGCGTCCTCGAAATCTATCGGGCGTCCTCGAAATCAATCGGGCGTCCTCGAAATCTATCGGACGTCCTCGAAATCAATCGAGCGTCCTCGAAATCAATCGAGAGTCCTCGATTGTTTTCGAGCGTCCTCGAAATCTATCGAGCGTCCTCGATTGTTTTCGAGCGTCCTCGAAATCAATCGAGCGTCCTCGAAATCAATCGAGCATCCTCGATTGTTTTCGAGCGTCCTCGAAATCTATCGGGCGTCCTCGATTGTTTTCGAGCGTCCTCGAAATCAACCGAGAGTCCTCGATTGTTTTCGAGCGTCCTCGAAATCTATCGAGCGTCCTCGAAATCAATCGAGCGTCCTCGATTGTTTTCGAGCGTCCTCGAAATCTATCAAGAGTCCTCGATTGTTTTCGAGCGTCCTCGATTGTTTTCGAGCGTCCTCGAAATCTATAGGGCGTCCTCGATCGTTTTCGAGCATCCTCGATTGTTTTCGAGCGTCCTCGAAATCTATAGGGCGTCCTCGATCGTTTTCGAGCATCCTCGATTGTTTTCGAGCGTCCTCAAAATCTATCGAGAGTCCTCGATCGTTTTCGAGCGTCCTCGAAATCTATCGGGCGTCCTCGAAATCTATCGAGCGTCCTCGAAATCAATCGAGCGTCCTCGATCGTTTTCGAGCGTCCTCGAAATCTATCGGGCGTCCTCGAAATCTATCGAGCGTCCTCGAAATCAATCGAGCGTCCTCGATCGTTTTCGAGCGTCCTCGAAATCAAGCGAGCGTCCTCGATCTCAATCTGGAAAATAATTTGGGGCAAGGGGGCCTCCACTCCTTTGTTGCCCCGAGGCCTCTGGACCCCTAAATCCGGCCCTACTAAGCTAAGTGTCTACTTATTTAATGTGATAAAAATGAGTACTTAGGACATAACATAACATCACGCCTTTTATCCTCGAAGGCACATTACGGCACTAAATGCCACTGTACAATGTTCTTACTCACTTTTGTTACTCACTTTTCACTATTTATGTTATAAGTCCCATATAATAGGGGGTGAGCCTATTGCCATATCGGGCACATTTCCAGACTCCGTCCTACTACTGAGATTTTTAAAAACCCAGTAATACTTTGCCCGACCCGGGAATCGAACCCGAGACCTCTTGACCAGCAGTCGCACTTGCGTCCACTCGGCCAACGAGGCAGTCTTAGTAGTACTTAGGAATAGTGTCTTAGTAGTACTTAGGAATAGTGTCTTAGTAGTACTTAGGAATAGTGTCTTAGTAGTACTTAGGAATAGTTAGTAGTTAGGAAACATACCTTGAGATATTGGTGAGTGTACTGAGCCCCTCATAGATGTGGTAGTTCTGAGGGTTTTCAATAATGGCGTCGGCAATGATCTTTCTGTTGCCGAATATTGTCTTGTGATTGTAGTATGTTGTCAAGTAACAGTCAACCATCTTCGCGTGGTTCCTCACGCGAACCTGTAAAACATATACAAAGAAATTTTAGACTACATAAACAACAGAGACGCTGCCACTTATTTGTCTCTTCAAAGCCTTGTCTATTGACTACAATAATTGCGCAGCGCGGCGTTTAACTACCTTCAACAATATTCCTGTAGTTAGGCAGATGCTATTACAACATTGTTACAGTACTTACAGCGAATCTCCTAGCGCTTGCGATCTTATTCTCAATGCGCTTATCAATGGCTTGCCGCAAGTCTCTCAGGAGTTCTCTCTCCTGGGCTTGCAGCAGGCGCACGGGCGCGCCCGCCTCGTACGGCATCGACCACAGCGACACCGTGTACATCACTGGCGGCTGTGCGGAGCTCATCAGTGGCGAGATGTTCCAGATCAGCGCACTTTGTACGCGCATCAGCTCTTCTGGCTTCACCGTGTCTGCCTTGTTCAACACGATGCGTGTCTGCAAGAAGATAACAAACAGTTATAAGGTTAGTGTTTTGAATATTCTTAGAAAAAAATCTTAAAGCATTTTCATATCTTGCAAATATGTATTTCCAAAATATAGAGGTAAACGTTGATTTATATTTAGATGACGTATCGGATTGTGGTTATTTATAAACGTTACACGCATCCATACATTTCATACCTTTGTCGATCAGATATTTAGGTACCTGGCACCTGGTCCAAAACGTACATCAGGTGATGACAGATAAAGTGCTCACTCATACTCAATGCTATGACAAGCATGTATGCAATCTGACCTGCACTCGCACATGCATTTCCTTTGCTTACAACGCTTGCCATGGCGATAACTTTAATTGGGATTAGAAAAGTTATTTTTTTTGTACCTTATTTACTACGTTACACAAAAGTAACTAAAATTTTATATTAGACCTTAATCCGCAAATTACTCGTTTTTGTCCTTTGTTCATGCTCTATTATCTCCAAAGTCATATTTTAAATCGAAATGTAAATAATGTTCACCTGTGACTCCCTGCCTTTGAGTTGGTCGAGTATAGCTTCAGTCTCGGGACCCACGTCCAGTTTAGAAGGATCGTAAACTAAGAAGATGATGTCGGCGCGATCGATGAACCACTGGCAGGCGTCGTTGAAGGGGAAAACACGAGATACTTGCTTCCTTACTTCCAATATTCCAGGAATTTCTACGATGTTCACCTGAAAGTTGATTCAAATTTTAATACGTGAATCGGTTATCTCTAGATAATTCGTTGAAAATATCTTTGGCTTATTTGTAATTTTTCAGTCATACAACATATAAAAATCTTTGGAATCTTTTGAATGGACAAGAGATATAATTATAATGTTGTGTACCTTCTCCAATATTTTGCTGGGATATCTCAAGCCTCTCAGACGCTCCTCCAACCCTTGACCAAACTTTTGAAGTCCCGAGAATGTCCAGTCAGCTGCCAGCTGAGTGCCATCTAATACTTCTGGCTCCTTGCCGTGCATTAGGATGTTAAAGTACGCAGGGGATGGTTCCGCGCCTATAAGCCAAATTGCATTAATTATAACATGTTCCTATTGTCATTAAGAAGGAATATTTGTCTAGTTGAATACATTACCTGTTCTGAGAGACCATTCTGTGAACTCCAGTCCAGTCAAGTAGTTCAAGATGCTAGATTTGCCACCGCTCCAGGGACCCATGAAGAGCACCAAAGGCTTAGAGAATATTTCAGGGTCGCCAAAATGTCTATTACTTAGATCTCTGTACTTGTAAAGCGCTTCCAAGGGTTTGATGGAGTTTTCGTACAATCTCTTCAAATCTCTGAGTACGATGTCAGCGGATTTTTCAACAGTTAATTCATCTTCACTAGCATCCTCGTCTAATCTAAGTATTTTGGTTATATGATCGCGAGATCTTAGGTTTTCGGGAATATCAATGGTCTGAAACAGAAGTTGCGTATAAGTAGTTAAAGTAAGTACTCGTAGTTAGGCACTCTTGAAATCGAATAACGATATTTAATCAACTAAGTTACCTAATTTAAATGTAGAAAAAACATTATTACGCTTTCTCCTCTTAATTAGGTAAAGGTTAAGGCAGAGAGTCTGTTTACTAGGTAATTATCATCGTAGTATTTGTGAAATGGGAACGACCGAGAAGGATATAAAAAAGCACTTACAATTAGTAAATCTTCCTCTGGCGCTCCTTCTTCCTCCTCAGCTTCTTCTGCGGGCTCTGTTTCCTCTTCACCTGCTTCTGCGGCCTCCTCGGACTTGTCCCCATCTTCTTCTTTACTATCTTTATCTGCTTCTCCTTCGTCTTCCTGTGACTTTTCTTCTACCCCTCCTTCAGATTCCTCTGCAGACGCCTCCTTTTCTTCGGATTCACCTTTCTCTTCTGCTGATTCCTTATCATCGACAGTATCTTCTACAGAATCGGCTTTCTCTTCCCCGGACTCTTCCTTATCTTCTCCTGAATCATCTTTTTCTTCTGCAGTTTCATCTTTGTCCTCAGCAGTTTCGTCTTTGTCTTCTTTCGATTCATCTTTGTCCTCTACTGATGCGTCTTGTTCTCCAGACTCGTCGGCAGTTTTTTCTTCTTCAGATTCGTCAGCTTTTACTTCTTCTGAGTTTACTTGTTCACTTTCTGCTTCTTCTTGAGTTTCATCAGCCTTTTCTTGAGATCCATCGTCATCTTCTTTTGTCTTATCATCATCGTCATCATCGTCTTTGTTTTCGTCGGACGAATCTGCGGCCTCAGCAGACTTGTCATCGTCTGCTGCTTCTTGACTAGCATCATCAGTTTCTTTACTATCTTCTTCTTCCTTTACATCTTTATTGTCTTCTTCTTCGGATCCTTCTTGGGATTTTTCGTCGCTACCATCTTCTGTAGCTTCGTCTTCATGTTCTTGACTCTCTAAAATGAAACACAAAAGGTAAGTTTTTACTCATTTAGTACCTATTACAAAGTGCATAACAGATTTTAACAAATGCGTCAGTAATTTTACGTAGACATTATAAAATATTTAAAATGGATGTCAAATGCGTCGGTATCCTAACTTAGATTCATTTAGGTAAACCGAACTTTAGAATGAACAGGGTTTCATCTTCACACGGTTTTTGTTATCAAATAATCTGGAGTCCTATATCTACTACGCGGTAACGCGAAAGTATTAAGACAGTTTCATTACTTACGAACGCTGATGTAAGATGCTGTATGTCATTGCATATGCATACATAATTATGCATTTTACGTACACAATAAATACACAAGATTACTGTCTTTAGTTGAATAAATGTGTACGTATGTATAATTAGTAATTTTATTATATTTACCTTCTCCAGCCGCTTCTTCTTCAGCAGATGTTTCCTTGCTGTCTGCATCATCGGCCTGTTCTTCCTTGCTATCTGCATCATCGGCTTCTTCTTCGTTACTGTTGCCGTCGGCGTTCTCTACCGCTTCTCCTGAGTCAGTGTCGTCAGATTCAGCTTGTAAATTTTCGACGGACGCTTGGGACACGTATGGCTCGTCTGCAATTTCTACAGACGGTGCATCGTCTTCCGCACTATCTGCATTTTCCGTCCCACTTTCTGCTGAAGTAACTTCTTTGGAATCGTCTCCGTCGTTAACACTTACTTCACTACTGTCGTTTTTTTCGCCAGAATCTGTAAACATAGTGTATTGTTCTTATTTCAATCTAATACATATCAAGACGCACACATTATTTGTAATAATACTAGCTATGTTAATAATACGTCTAATGGTTGCGTCATCATTTCACATGGCTGCATTTACACGCTCGGTTGTTTGGATTGGGGAACTCGTAACAATAACCTAGTTCCCAAAAGATATTGATTTACATCTTCAAGGAATTTATTGTAAGTTTCCTCTGAAATACTCAGTTTCTCTCACTAGATTTACGTAATGATTCACGCGTTTTGTCCGTCCTTGACTATCTGTGCAGCCGCTTCAAAGTCATAATTTCTTATTAACAGTCCGTCACATCACTACTTTGACGCTCTCAAGTAAATTTCTACGTTGCGTAGTTATAAATAAACGTTTAATTTTAGATGGCCCAACCTCAGTATGTTTTAGAGGACAATGACAATAAAACATCATTTTACTTCTACGCATATCTGGAATATTACTATTACTACTTAGTTGTTACAAATCCCTAGTAAAACAATGTAGCGCACAGCTTTTATTAAATATTGCTATGTACGCTCGTGGACAGAACCACGTTAAATGTCTATCAATCTTTCAGTAAGCAAAGCAAGACCTTTGATTCAGTACCTGCGTATCTACTGTCGAAATTTGACTTTCATACTTGCAGATTTTTCACTTAGGAACTGTCTAAACCAGGCAAATGGCGAATTCCATTATTATCCAGTATAACATTTTACTCATGAATTTCAGTTACGACCCTAAACCTATGAAAAGAATGACAAAGAAAAAACATGTGGATGATATAGCGATGTCTATTATTTAGCAGACGTTAATATCGATGACGCGCAGACACCGCGCAATTAAAATAGATCCGACATCTCAACACCAGCAAACTTGTGTCAATCCGAGATTATTCCTGGTTCCGCTGAGGTCACATTTAATAGCGGTTACTCTAAACGTAGTTAGATGTGTTCATGATGAAATTCAACCAAAAACACAGCATTGAGGACGGGTGAAATCAAACGCTTAAGACAAATTCATGTGTCTGATTTGTCCAGCAAATTGTCAGGTTTTGAGTTTGGAAAATAAAGTTCAAATTAAAGTACTATGAGGACATGATTATAGAACGTTAGATAATAGAATTTATCAAATTTATTTCATCCATAGTAATTTCTCTTCCGTGTAGGTAATTAACATGTAGATTAAATAAATGATAGCGTTTTGTGCCAAATATTTCTAAACTAATCCTGTTTCACTACGAAACCGGTAGTAATGATACAGTGCTACCTAGGTGACACAAATAAATCAGGTAATTAATTAACTAGCAATTAACATGCTTTTACCTGGTTCAACATCTCCTGACTCGAGCTCCTTAAGAGCTTTTTCGATGTATGGCCGGCATTGTGACTCAGATGGTATTTCGTCGTCAGCTGAAAACAATTTATAATATTACGTAAGACACAGTTTGCAGTTACCATATGGCTTTCTTCTTTCTCCTGGCCTCTTCCCAATAATATTAGGGCTGATACTGGCTCATACTCATAATTTACTGAATCAACATATTTTATGGAAGGTTTATCATAGTTATCCTTTTTGCCTTAAAAATATTTATCACCATTATTTTGACTGTCATGGTACCTACTGTTCAGCTACTAAAAATCTATCATCTTCAATCTTTGGTTTTGGTATATTTGTTTTCTTTTCTCTTAAAATTGTCGTCACCACAACCCATCCAACTTTCACTAGCTAGTAGAGAACTACTCCATCAAAGACGTTAGAGATTAAAGCAAGAACGTGAGTCAACCTTGTGTCTACATTTAATGTAGTGAAGATGGAGTAGTTACGTCTTAAACGTTTTGTTTTGAATTACATGAATTCTTTTTAGATTTATTTTATCGAACACAATAAATCACTTGTAGCCGACAATTTTTTTTCTATCAGCGTTAATATTCGTTGTCACGTTTATCCCAATCTGTTTTGCCATCAACTTTAAAATATGATATACACCAAAATTACTAAAATCATAATCAAACCGTTATTTTATCATCGCATGCGCTCATGCGTCACTACCAGCTGTAGATACGTCAAATGTGAATCATCATTCCTCATCTTAACTATCCTTCGATCTATTACGATCATTATTCATCTAAACAACCCAATTATGCAATATTTTGCAGTATTTTGATTTGTATTACCATCTCTTTTATTTATTACTTTTATGACCTTTTTTTTTTCTTACCACTACTGTCCCATCTATAAATTCTATACGTCTCCTGACCTACTGAAAATAACTGAGATAATGGACTTCGTCACTTTTGAAACTGCCTTGCCTTGAGAAAATATTTTGGAAACCTTAATCTCTATATTTATTAATGTTTTGAAGGAATCCAACGCAGGAAATAGAAGATAAAAAATATTTTTGAGTCGTGTTAGATTTTCTTATGTGTAGTATTTTCACTGAGCAGTTTATTGTCGACCTTGGGGCGTCGCTCCACTTTGTAGAGCTGTTTGTATTTTATGTTGCATCCTATGCTATCTGACATTGACTTACATGTGGATCTCCCACTCCTCGTTCCACAGCTGTGCTATGTGTATCGTACGTTCTAACGACTCCATTCCTCAGAAAATTTTAAGTTTTTTACTACCCTACGTCTGTGATTATTTTCTCTATACGTTACATTTTTAGGGGATGATTTAGTACAGATAAAAAGAGTGTTATGCGAGATTGTTGAGTGTTGAATAATTTTTACAGTAGAACCAAAATGATTTGGTTGCCCTAATATAGATTTATGGGGCAAAAGGACATTAAGTGCTAGTAGTATTTTGTTGAGGTATTACAGTATCGTTGAAGGGCAACATGCGATTATGACGTGACCTGGATCCATATCATACTTTTATAATGTCGTCACGATCCTATCGTTTTTCACAAGATGGCGACGCACAACGACAAATCCCTGTATTTCTATTTACGTATCTAGCTTTGCGATGTAGCCAGGCGGCCGGCGCTCTACCTTCACTCAACTCTGTCTGATAAACAGCAGAGAATAGACAAAACCCGTTTATAACTCGGTCACTAGATCATTTTGTCATACAAAACTTCACCTAAGGTTATCGCCAAAAATAGAGCACATACGTGAGCTTTTTACATAATTTCAGCGCAAGTTACGCCGAAAATAGCTTCGATGTAGTGACGCAGAGAGTGAGCGAAGATGTGCCGGCGGCTCCCACTCGGCGAGCGACCTGGACTCACCTCGCACCGTCGCGGCGCACGCCGACGCCACCAACAACATGCACAACAGTATCCTCCATGGCGTCAATCCTTTGCTCCACATGTTGTTCAAGTTAAGCCCGCAGAGGGGCTATCAGTCATTTGCACACACACTCGCGCACCTGGTCGGCCGATCTAAGGACGTTGTACACATCTACACTGAATGAGCGAATCCACTTAATGCTGCGGCTCAACACGACTTGCACCCCTTCAGGAATGCAACTCGGGTTAAACTCGTTACCATTCAATCGCGGTTAAATGATCAAACCAAGGCTTGGCCAGAAAAATATTTGTTACACGAAAGCAATAAATAATTGAACGACAACTCTATTATTAACCGCGATTCAATGGCTAAATGTTGGCTGCAGCAGCAAGCGGTACGCGACACTGCACGTAAAGACGACGGACGTACTCTATTTCCGGAGACAGCACAGCATCGCTGGTCGGAGGGGTACTGGCGTGAGCGCGAGGCTCTCCCCGCGCCGGAGCTTTCAGCGATATTCAGCGCGGTGCGCGTGCCAAGCGCAACCCACGACGCGACGCACGCGCTGCTACCAATACCAACCTGCTTCACATCACAATCGGGACGCCTCAATAAAGCTTATTTTGTTTATAATCCACGTGTTTAAATATTGTTCTAACCTACAGATTTTCTAATAAACGTAACTTGTCAGTCATCATAACGAGACTAATAGAAACAAACGAAACAGTTAACGGATTTCCGCGCAATCGATAGATTTAAAAGAAGCAAAAGCTGTTGTAGGAAAATGAGAATGAGAAATGTAACTAACTTCAATTCCAGTAAAATTGTATGTAAGTAAAAATATCTTCACTAGATATAAAAACACTAGGTTTGCAAAGATATCTAAAGTTGGGGGATAGGAACGTATCTATAATTTTCGGTATGAAATACCTACTTACCTACCCTGTACCTACCACATTTGCTAGGGAAAATCTGTTCTAATCTGGAACTCAAATTGACAACGAAGCATTTCCATTTCAATCATAGTTTCAATTTAATTCTAGAGTAGACTTAATTACCATCACATAGATTAGGATCGCGCCAAATGTCTTCGACAAACGTATTGAGACAAGCGCGATGGTAGTTGCGGTCACGTAGCATTAATACCTGTCGACGTAGCAAGAACTGTTGGCTCGTGTGAGCAGGGTGGTGGTGCCACCAGCCGGCCAATACATCAGCATGTCGCTTTCGAAATTACTGCACTTGGTGCAGTGACATCCTCAAAGCCAATGCCTACGCAAATATAGTTTTCATTCGGATCTATTTACAGATAGTCCTTGTACCGCAGTGTCATACATAGCGAGTTTAGAGGTAGGTAGGTAATGTTTAATGAGGAAAGTTTAACAGATATTTTTAATAGGTGTCTCTAGAGTAGCTAGCTACTTAATCAAAAATACACCCGGCCTCGGGTCTTCAAAGCGTAAATATGTTTTTTATCTAGGTATTTAGGTATGGAACTCCCAGTAAAAATAAAGTTTAATATGTGCACCTGCATTTGTGGATTAAAAATTATAATGATGTGTAATTATAATCCCATAAAACATAGATATATGCCTCGTTGGTCGAGTGATCGCAATTGCGACTGCCGAGCAAGGGGTCTCGGGTTCGATTCCCGGGTCGGGCAAAGTATTACTGGGTTTTTTAAAAATTCTCAGTAGTAGCACGGAGTCTGGAACTGTGCCCGGTATATGGCAATAGGCTCACCCCCTATTACATGGGACTCATAACATAAATAGTGAAAAGTGGGTGTTACATTGTACAGTGGTATAATGTGCACCTCTGCCTACCCCTTCGAGGATAAAAGGCGTGATGTTATGTGTTACCTGGCACAAGCTAAACGCTAAACGTAATCGATTGCCAAACTTTTATTATCATATCAATAAGTGTGAGTGTTAGGCATTTAATTCTATTTACACCTCGATAAAGAGAGTAATTAAAAATTGAAATAACAGCCATTTTGTGGGCACTAACCTTGTGAAATATTGACACCTAGGACTACTTATTTTAAGCACCAAGGACTTTAAATGAATTCTCTAAATTGAATGCACAAGTTTTTATAGGTATTTCATTGAACCTTACCTGAATTGCTGAATTCTGAACCGATTTCGTACATATAGTTTTATCGTGAAAATGGCATAGGAAGGACGGCATACGAGCAGACGGATTACTTTGGGGAAGACGTTAGCCGGAGCCGCCGGAGGGCTATGCATTTTTTCGCGCCTTTTTTCCTGTAAAGCGCCTATTGAGCGGCTCATTCGTGTTTATTTCTAAGACGTATGAACCTGAAAGTATCCCACAAAAAGTGTTTTTATTTATCCTGCCGATGACGCAGGTCAGGTTTTAGAGACTTGAAATGGAAGAATCGTAAGACATTATAATTTGACGGCACAATGACGCAGTGAGTCTGGCTGGGTGACATACTCTGCTGTTGCGCTACGTATTACGTAGGTATCGCGGGTTCGATTCCCGTACACAGAGAAGAAAACTGCTTTTGACTGCCTGAACTGACGGTAGTAAATTGGAAGTGCTTATCAGAGCCATTTGAGATTTTGATATTTCACTGATTGCCTGATTGGAGTGAACAAATATAGATCAATGATTTCTGTTTCTGTTAATATTTAAAATTAATATAATCAAATAATCATGTATGTATAAAGTACTTTAGGCTGTAGGTAAAGGTAAAAGAGAAAAAAAAAATATCAATTAAAAGATGTTTACTAGGTTTACTAGTTGAAATTTGAAAGATTTTTTTCCGAAGTCTCTATTGTGGAGGCCCCCTGCTTGTGGAGGCCCCGGGGCATTCGCCCCGGTTGCCCCCCCCCCCCCCCCTAAATCCGGCCCTGCAAAGGCAAGTTCAAACCAAGCAGCGGCGGAGCGGAACAAAGCATCGCCGCCGCGCGCCTTTGATATTCGTGTCTGAACTTGCCTTTTTGACATGCTCCGGACAAGTTTAAGACATGTCGCGGGCGGCTCGCGACCTACCATTGCCGTCGTGCACAGAGGTTTTACAAGCCAGATAAATAAAACAGCAAAATTAATTTATAAATTCTTACATTTATTTCTTACTTAACTAAGTTGTCTTATAATTATTGATTGGGCATTCATTTGATTGCATTACTAGAATCCAGATGTACGAAACATGACTGACACTTTTATTTTATGATAAAAAGTTTACACCAAGAATTATTAATTTATACTTTAAAAATCTTGTACTGAAGAAGAAATTTGGTATATTGTCTAGTTAATGATCTATGATAATAAGTTCATCTATGCTCCAGTCTTCATAGGAATGATCGGGAAGGTAGCGTCTGATGATGATTGGAATCTTGCCATGTTTTAGTTCTTTCATAGCTATTTGTAAAGGATCTGTTTCTCCTTCAAGCTCCACCATCACAGGCGCACACATGGCTATTTGCAATGCTCGTGTACCTGTAAAGATGGAATATTTTTTTAATAACTCAACAACATTTTTAGATATATCAGATGCAGAAATATTTTCTCTGTTATTTATATAACTAGCATGAATGTAATGGTAGCTAAAGAAAAAAAAGTGTGTAAAGGCAAAATATACACATGTACATAGACTAGGTGGAATTCTGTAGATGGTATGTCTCCATGAATAATAAATAACTTTACACCAAAGGTATTGAGTTATTTATGTATGTAATACTCATTTCTTATTGTGGATAGACTTTCCATAATGGGCCAGTGAGTTGGTAGTTCAATTTTTTTTATAGATATTACTTATAAAAAGAAGGCTTTTTTTAAATCTAGAAGTTATGGAGACTGGCAAATCACATGATATAATTTTTGAAGTTTTCATGTACATCGCAAAATAAAACATGTTGTATGAAATATGTTACTTAGTAGTAGTAAGTGTCATAGAAGTGAACTTTAGGGCACCATGACTCAGACAGGTTAGATAAGAAGACACTGTGACGCTTAGATGGGAGCTCCATTATGCTATGCTCTTGGGAACCACCCAGAATTAGGATGAATGACGGGTAAGGTAGTAAACGCTTGTAAACGTGATTTGTATAAGAATAATATTATTCCTGGTTTTTATATTACTACCCGGGAAATACCTGACCTAACCTCAATATTGTGACCAATATCTCCTTAACCATGGTGTTTTGTGGGGTGGGAAAGGTATAAGGGGTAGGACCCTTCCACGCTCACCCTCCCCTCTCCATAAATCGGTGAAAATAGAATTCAAATTGATGGATATCTCCATAATTATGGGGATCCGCGCTTTTCGGACGGAACAGGGGGTAGCCCAGCCCACATTCCGCCACCTCCGCAACTCAAATATCACTGGCCCGTTATGGAAAGTACAACCAAATACTATACTAAGAAAATCACCAACATTATTGTAGGTATATCATACCTAGAACTCTAGCTCTCTCGTACTTCGTCATGTATCGTGTAGTGATGCGCTTTGACTTCTCGACTCCTCCGCCAGCCTGTCCAGGAGCAAGACATTGCACGTTGTATCCTTCCTCCTCCTGCTCCTCCGTTTCCTCGATGTTATCGTCCTCCTCAGCAATGTCATCGTAATCTGCTCCCGCATCGTCAGCCTCATATTCTTCATCTGCCATTTTATTAAAGCAACTTAATTTTCTACTTTCGTGCTTGGTATTGTTGGAATATGTCGTATATATGTAATTGGAATAATAAAGTAAAATAAAAAAGACACGAAGTTTAAGTTTTAGGTTAGCTTTTGAGAATTCAGAGAATTGAGTGTTGTTATGTTGTTGTCTGTCACTGTCATTCATGGTCGTTTGTCAACATGAAACCAAAGAGAAGATAAAATATTTGTTTTAAAGACAAAGAATGGACTATAGTGCATGTGGAGATGTGAAAACAACAGTTTTTAGTTGTTTGTTCATGAATTATTATTAATTCATAAATATTACAATAACTTTATTTACATGTTTATTTTATCCTGACTTTGTAAAAACTAAATAGTTCCCAAAATAAAATTGGTTTAATAAAAAAACCGATGTCACATAATTAAAATGAGTTCAAGAGATATTTAATTTTGTTTTACGTTTAATACTAAAACTAAATTACTCAAACATCATTACTAAAACTAAAATAAGTACTTTTCAAAAATTCATATGATTTAAATGACTTATGTTTTGTGAACGTATCGTTATCTACAGTCTATGGATATTAAAGAATTTGTACTTGTCGTTGGATCATTGGCAGCCTTTCCTTTTCCGGTTCTGCATCAAAGCTGTAACCATGCCGGTGTGTATTTTTATTTATCTGAGTAAATTATTCAACTTTGTTCAATGATATCATTTGTTTTCTGTGTTCGTTGTTAGTTTCCGATTTTTCTGGTAGTTGAATTAGTGCCTTCCCAACATCTACTGTGAAGTTCGGATCTCGGCTAAACAAGCGGATACACATGGCATTATCTGACATGTCAGACGAATAACTTATTTAAAACTCTCTAGTTTTCCCCAAAAGCCTTTTAATTTCGAGCAAATCGGAATGATTTTTGTACAATCAGTGCTATTTCAGTTCTTTCAAGTTCTTGTTTCAAATATTACGAAGTGACCAAATAACCTAAATGTGCGTGTTGTGAATTTCAGCTCGCAATTGATTTATTGCATCCTTCTCCCGCGTCGGAGAAAAGGAAACACAAGTTGAAGAGGCTGGTGCCACATCCGAACTCATACTTCATGGATGTTAAGTGCCCTGGCTGCTACAAAATCACAACTGTATTCAGTCACGCGCAAAGGGTGGTCGTATGCGCAGGTTGCTCAACGATCCTTTGCCAGCCCACCGGTGGTCGCGCTAGATTAACGGAGGGTAAGATCTATTTTTTATTCATTAAACTTGACTTGCTTCATGAGCATTCCATTGTTTATAACTGTCATCTAAAAGTTTTATTGTTATTACACCACATTGTAACAGGAATAACCATGTTACTATGTTATCATAAAGTTTTTAAAAGCTCTCCTAAAGTTAAAACTAGTATTATCCTCAATCACTACAAATTCCTGGCAACTCAACACTTTACCATTGTCCAGTGTGTTCAAAACAACATGAGCATGCCAGCATTGGAAGTATGCTAATACAATTATCATTTTCCTACTCAATAGTATCACCAAAGAACATTCATGTTTACAAGTTAATGTAAAACTTTGACGACTATTAACCTATATTTTTATTTACAAGTTTGTATACACTATCCATTTATTTACTTGAATCTTATCTTGCAACTGATTATACTATTTCTGAAAATGTTGTGAAATAAATATGATCATTCGAACAATGCTGAAATTCTCAAATATTGACATATTATTGTTCAACAAATAATGTGCTTCTAAATATCTCTTAATATTGTGTTTACGTTAATTACATTATGCACACAATTTCAAAGCCTCTGTGCAAATTGTGCAACATTGTGTATGATTTAGTTTGCACTTATTGTGCAATAATATCAAGTCCTTTGTCAATGTACACACAGTTATCATTGAATTGAAATCATATTTATGTTGTTTGGAGTTATGAAATATAAATAGTAGTAACCGAGTGTTATTAGATAAATTGATACATTTGCTGGCTGATTTGATTTGAAGGCTGATGTGGGGTAGGCCTAGGTTCAACAGTGGACATTTTGTGGTAGATATTAAGATTATGATGATATCTGTTGTACACTAATAATGGCCTAGGTCAAATATGTACCTTTGTTGCAAAATCTTATCTTTTGCCTATACACTTAATAAATGTAGCAGTGAATAATTTATTTATACTGCTCCAATATATTATTTAGATTAAAATGGTTATTTAACTTATTTAGATTCAAATTTAAGATAACATTTGGGTTATGAACTGGTTTTTTAAGTGATAATAGACAGATTTATTTTTCTTTGACACCATTTGAGATTGGTCTCAATAACAATGTTACTTATCTATTTTTGTATTGTTTTCTTGGTACTAATGCTAGATTTTTCCTTTTTCAGGATGTTCGTTTAGGAGAAAACAACATTAATTTTCCTGGAGAGAGAGCCCTATTAATTTAAGATTCTTTTATTTCCATTGTGATGAGAGATGTTTTACAGTTTGTTAAAATGAATCCAGTCAAGCACTACAAATAAAGGCTTTTTCAAAGGGATCATTGTGGTTTGATTGTTTAAAATACATAATCTTTTCTGAAAATAAAGTTTATTTACTTACAATTAACTTCATTGCACAATTTTTCTAAAAATATCACATAGGTAGTCCTTATTTTAAATTAGCTTCAACATCATTTGATAATGCATAATATTATAAACTGGCTATTTAATTACTGTAATATTTCATTCAGCTTTGTAAGCTACCATAATAAAGTTAACATACATTTTTCTTGATTATTTCTATACTTTTAATTTATAATTAAAATAAAAATTTGATCAAACAAATATAACAAAATAACTTACAATAACATAATAATTGTGATAGTGACTTGCAATATAAATTCAGTTACTACAAAATTTTTCTAAAGGCCAGAATGCTAGAATTGTCAATCTTCAAAATATTTATTATTCTTGATATTTTGTGCGTCAGGTTGTTCCAAAAATTTTTCTGCATTCGAAATATCTTGCTTGATTTCATTTATAAGATCATCTAAAGAGTTGAAATTCTTTTCTCCTCTTAGATATCCCACTAGAGCTATTTTCAATTGTGATCCATAGAAGTCTTTATCGAATTTATGCATAATATGGGTTTCCTGGAACAAAATCAATTATTTTATCATGGAGTTAGTTTCATCAATTATGTTTTAGATTAAAATAACAATAATATGTCTTGGGACAAATTGGAATGGCCCTCGAGTATTCATCTACACTCCAGGCATTTTTTAGTCGTAGATAAGTAAGGACACTTGCAACTGCTATATCAACTAGATAGTGACGTCACCACAGCCAGGAAAAAACAGGCTGGTACCTATTGTTTTCGGTGCTGACTATCTACGGTATTGTATGACTCATTACTTCATTAGTCTTGAGGTAAAAGAGGAGAAAACTTGGACTTATTTTATACTTAGGTACTGAACGTAAATCGATAAAGTAAACAAATAACGTAACATCATGCCTTTTATCCCCCAAGGAGTAGGCAGAAGTGCACATTACGGCATTTAACGCCCACTTTTCGCGTGTGCGTTCGCCCAGCGGAATGTCGTACAATTTAAAGATTTTAATTATGCAGATAATTTGTGTATGAGGTCCTATAAGTGTGTAAAAAAAATGTGCATGCAGCCATTGTAGAGAAATTAACCAAAAACTGATTCCGCTGGGCGAACGTTGTCCTGGCGGAACGTTTTTTAATCCATAGACTTTAAAAGAAAAGACATGTGTTTAAAAATTGTGTGTATTTGTGTATAATTGTTTATGTATGAATAAAATCAGTGCATGCATAAACATAAATAACATAACATCACGCCTTTTATCCCCGAAGGGGTAGGCATAGGTGCACATTATGCCACTGTATAATGTAACACCCACTTTTCACTATTTATGTTATAAGTCCCATGTAATAGGGGGTGAGCCTATTGCCATATACCGGGCACAATTCCAGACTCCGCGCTACTACTGAGAATTTTTTTAAACCCAGTAATACTTTGCCCGACCCGGGAATCGAACCCGAGACCCCTTGCCCGGCAGTCGCACTTGCGACCACTCGGCCAACGAGGCAGTCGTGCATAAACTTCGGAGAAATTCAAGTTGCCGTTACGCGAACATTTGGCCATTAGCTAGTTTTCATATAAAGCGCTTACATAGGAGCTGTAGATTTTTACATAGGTACGTTGTTTTGAACTTGTATATATTTGTTTAAAAAACAGATTTAGAGAAAAAGTAGAGTTTAAAAGAAATAAATGTAAACGTAAAATACACTTATTACGTCTTAGTTCTTAAAGTATGCACTTTGGGGTCTAGATTTTCACGTTTACACAAACCCTGTAAGTGTGCAACATGTAGCCAAGTATCAATGATGTTCCGTTAGTAATTTAAAAGTTATACAATAATTTTACCATGAATAGATCACTGTTTACAAAGCAAATTCAAATCACTTTCAAGCAGTCGAATATCACGACGTTCTAAAGGAATTGCATGGTAAAATGTATGCCAATAATTTGTTTAATTATTCAACTATTGCAATTGCAACACATGCAAAATTTCATGGCATTAAATTCAGTAATTAAAGAAAGACAATTATAATACTGACGAAGCATCGAAACCTACATAATCCAACCAAGTTCGGATAGCTACAAATAAGCGGCCGGGACGTCATACACTAATTATCTGCATAATTAAAATCTTTAAATTCAACAACATTCCGCTGCGCGAACGCACACACTTTCACTATTTAAGTTTTTTGTTAAGAGTCCCATATAATAGGGGGTGAGCCTATTGCCACATACCGAGCACAATTCCAGGCTCCGTGCTACTACTGAGATGTAAGCAAATAAAAAGCAACATACAATAAATATGTGATAACTCTAAACAGGGCCGGATTTAGGGGGGGGGGGCAACCGGGGCGAAAGCCCCGGGGCCTCCACAAGCAGGGGGCCTCCACAATAGAGACTTCGGAAAGAAAAATCTTTCAAATTTCAACTAGTAAACATCTTTTCTTTGATATTTTTTTTTTCGCTTTTACCTTTACCTACAGCCTAAAGTACTTTATACATACATGATTATTTGATTATATTAGGTACCTAATTTTAAATATTAACAGAAACAGAAATCATTTATCTATATTTGTTCACTCCAATCAGGCAATCAGTGAAATATCAAAATCTCAAATGGCTCTGATAAGCACTTCCAATTTACTACCCATCTTGAGGGAGTACCCCAATGGCTCAATGGCTCAGTGGGATGGTACTTGCCCGCGACCTCGGAGGTTGGCTATTCGATTCCGTGTCTCGACCATTAAAAAAATTAATTGCAGTATGTGAACAATTGGTATTCTTCAATTCTTAAACTCGAAATCTGTCAAGCGTCCTCGAAATCTATCGAGAGTCCTCGATCGTTTTCGAGCTTCCTCGAAATCTATCGGACGTCCTCGAAATCTATCGAGCGTCCTCGAAATCTATCGAGCGTCCTCGAAATCTATCGAGCGTCCTCGAAATCAATCGAGCGTCCTCGAAATCAATCGAGCATCCTCGAAATCTATCGAGAGTTCTCGATCGTTTTCGAGCGTCCTCGATTGTTTTCGAGCGTCCTCGAAATCTATCGAGAGTCCTCGATCGTTTTCGAGCGTCCTCGATTGTTTTCGAGCGTCCTCGAAATCTATCGAGCATCCTCGATCGTTTTCGAGCGTCTTCGATTGTTTTCGAGCGTCCTCGAAATCTATCGAGCATCCTCGATCGTTTTCGAGCGTCCTCGAAATCAATCGAGAGTCCTCGAAATCAATCGAGCGTCCTCGAAATCAATCGAGCGTCCTCGAAATCTATCGAGCGTCCTCGATCGTTTTCGAGCGTCCTCGAAATCAAGCGAGCGTCCTCGATCTCAATCTGGAAAATAATTTGGGGCAAGGGGGCCTCCACTCCTTTGTTGTCCCGAGGCCTCTGGACCCCTAAATCCGGCCCTGACTCTAAATGTTCATGGTAAGCAAGTGTGTTCTTAGTGCCATGTCTATGTAATCCCTGACTAATCTAAACTACCTAATCTATAACTAAGAATTTCGAACTTTTCCCGACTACGTATCTAATCGAACCCGCAACGTGTTTGTCAGTAATCGCAGTTGCGCGCACTTTTTAGAGTATTCTTAATCACAGTAACTAAACAAATAAATTAAGGCAAAATATAACGACCTTATGTAGTTTAGCTTCATGCAATAAAAATAGGCGATTCAGTAAATGTAGGTACTACTCACCTACATACATAGTAAACAAGCATTTTAGCGCCATTATGAGTTAGTACATACATAATTTACTAAGTAAAGTAGATAATGATTCGGTATTATCAGACTAGGTAAACACTACAATTGACTGGAGTTGCTATTCGAGTTTTGAAATTGCAAATTACTATTTATTCAGCTAAAAACTTCGCGGTTGGAATCATGGACGTGGACCAATAAACTATAGTTTCGTATGTTCTTGTATTATTGCGTCCTTCATGTAGTTCGACGTAAGTATCTAAAACATAAAATACCTTAACAAAAGTAATAAATTTTAGAAGATAAAAAATTTTGCATGATCGGTTTCATTCTATCGAGCGTGGTGGATGGAATGTGTGGTAAGTTATATCTATAACTAACTGCAAAACTAGTACCTACCTAATTAAAAAATGTAAAATGCATTTAGAAAGATTAATAAGTAGGTAGGTACTCCCTACTCTAGCTAGGTAATATGGCTATAATAAGTAAGAAGTAACAGAATAATGGTTGCATTGTGTAGCGAAAGTAGCGAAGGTCGGAAGGTGAAGAACTTACGACTAATATAACTTAGTAGGCATATTTATCATTAACTAATAATGTTCCAAACATACCTCTAAAATAAATATCTACACTGATATTGATGTTTTGAATCAAGGATTGATAAGATTTTGTAGTCTTATTACCACATTTATTACAAAGATAATGATAAGAAAAAATACTTATACTGAGTACTTATAAAATATTGGTACTTTACATTGATTTACTGTAGTTGTAAGTGCAGCTTAATATTTATACACAATCATAATAACCTTAACTACCTATTATAGGTAATAGTATTCCCTCCTCTGTAGTCAGAGTGAGATTGTATTCTAGTCAATCTTAAGGACGATTTGGTAATAAGTAAAAAAAATATGGTTTTGTACGAGGTAAAGAGCCATGATTAAAGATAACAAAGGAGTATCAATAACTATTGCAACATAGAATATATATACTTAATCTCAAAGTTAGGAAAGAGACAAGCCATAGCTATCATCACCATGATAAGCAAAAGTAGATAAATTGTTCATTACTTCATTAACTTTAGCAAATGTAGTTAATTGTCTGCTGTCTTCACATTATTTTTATCTCTACATGACAAGGCTAACTCAATTTGTCTTGTAAAACCTGAATGAATATTTAAGTTTGAATAAATAAATATCTGTTGATAACAGATGTGTAAATTTATTCTTAATTAGCTTTAGTAATATGATATCTGCTTAATTAACATACAGTAGAACCCGTTTAAGACGATCACGCTTAATACGATTTCTCGCATAATACGCCATTTTACGTCGGTCCCTGCAACTTAAAATATATTTTCATACATTTCTTAACGCTTAATACGATTCGTCATCCCGTTTAATACACTCCGAGCAGCGAGAGAACAACGTGGTTGACGTCGTGTTGGAAGAAGAAGAACCCGAGATTCTGCAGGGTTTTCCTGGATACTCTTCTATTGATGACAATGTAGCACCGTACGAAATTCAATCAATTGAAGATCTTATTGAGAATGTGAACAACACACAAAACGAAGCCCTAAGTGATAATGATGAAGACGAAGATGAGTCAACTCCGGTTTTGTCAAACGCCCAGGCATTATCAGCTGTTTATGATTTAAGACGCTATGTAGCTTCTATGGATCAAACCGAAGACGCACTGCAAAAGTTGAATTATGTTGAAAATCTTTTAATTGCTAATGCATCAAAATCTTTTTGTCAAACCAAAATAAGTGATTATTTTAAATAATGTAATTTTAATTACACTACGTATTTAACGTAATTTATAAATGTATAATTACAAAAATTAGAACATATTACATAATAATAAGTAGTACTTTTTTTATTTTCCCTATCCCGCATAATACGCTTTCTCGCTTAAGACGCGTTTTTGGTAAGGTCCCTGAGAAATCGTCTTAAGCGGGTTTTACTGTACATCATTATATCAAGGATGTGAGTCAATTTAATAAAAATATAGAAAATTTTATCTTACCACAGACATTTCTTTGTTTTGGTAATAGGGGCACCAGCCAATGTTTGCCACCATTTTATATGTATCACCTTTGTCTACCTGTGCCCATCCATAGTATACTCCCGGCTCGAGATCTTTGGGCAAAGACTGCACCACTTCTAGAGGGTAATTTGCTGGAAAAAGGCCACATAAATTTATAAAATTTAAAAAAATAAAACTTCTAATATCATAAACAAAATACTCCCAAAATTTTTTTGCTTATCTTACTTATTAATTAAATACAAGAGGATGATGTAATTAAGTACTTAAACTTTTAGCAGTATCGACTATTGAGTTTTATTGGATACCTACATTATCTAAAACCTTGCCACTTAAATTAGAAGTAAGTAATAAAAGAAATAATCAAGATTATTACTTAGAATAAATGTATTTCTAAGTACTTAATAATCTTGTCTTCTATTACAGTTTAAATGAAATAAAAATTGCACTAGGTAAATAAATTAAAGTATTTTCAGTGGTAATAAAAACAAAGTTTTATTTAGGTCTTTACTAATACCTACTTACTGGTGAGATTATTAGTAAGTGTAGCTAAACTTGGTTCTAGTTTTGGGCAATAAAAAATTATGTCATACTCATAAAATATAAGTTAAACAACTTATGATGATCACTCTTCACATTAGTGATAGGATAGGTACTCTAAACTTCTTCAAGATAATCAAACCCATGAATGAACATTTTTAAATAAATTTATAATGTGTATGTACCTGTAGGACATCCGAGATCCTTAGATCCTCTTCCGAAACCTTTAGCTACTTCACCTTCCAGGAATAATGGTAAATGTTTTGTTGACATGGTAAATTTCCTCAACAATTTCAGGAATTTCAGTTTTATAGTTTAACATCCAACCGTCCAGCCGAAGAATATCTTAAATATTCAATTCTTAAAAAAAAAGTAAAAATAATTGTATTTTCTGGAATTATTTATAATACTTTACTACCTCAAAGTAGTAGTAGTAAAATTGCGGGAAGATTGGGTAACTCTGAACACTGCACTTGTATAGACAGACTGGTTCGGACTGATTACTGGGTTGAAATAAATAAAGTTATAAAATAAATTGATACGAGTTTGATTTGATTAGTAAACTGACGTCTTCACAAAAAAGATAAGAATCTGTGTGAATGTCAGACTGAAGTGTCAAATTAGTGACGTTGACGTACACGTCATACGAATTTTGACATTGAAACACAGACCTACTATAATATGGACCAGAAGTAATGATCTATAGCTTATTTGCTTATACAAATATATATCAAATCGACATAGAAATATGAAACCACACTTTGTCTCTTTTTAATCAATGAGTAACCTCGTTTGAAGAAAGAGACGTCATGTTGTTTGTTTATTCTCTGCCTGGCAACATTTCTACATTTCTGACAAGGTACCTACCTCGCGTGCCAGCCGCCATCTTTAGGCCGGATAGTTTTGTAGTACATCAGGTGTCAAGCAAACAACAACATTAGATTTGGATTGCGATTTTTAACAATAAAAACGCTCCCAATTTAATTGTTTTGTGCTGTGAGTGTCTAGTGGTGCGTATTTAATATGTCTACTTGTTCAATAATTCAGTGTGGGGCAAGGAAAAACCCCATGATTGGGACCTCATTTGACTATGCACAGGTTAGTAGCCGTATTTTAAGAAAAAACTTTATCATACTATTAGTTTTCTTGTTTATCTAGCCTTGTTTTATATATAGAATAAAAGCCCCCAAATGTACATTAAATTTGTTTATGATAACTAACTTCATTTGCTAAATTTGTTTAAGTTTTGTTTACAATACAAATGACGATTTACAATAGTGATGTATTTTATTTAATAACATATCGATAAGAAACTAACATATTTTTAGTTTGTATGTTATGGAGTCCAGTAGAGTAGAGTATCAAAATAAAGGGTCTGAAGAGACCATTTTGAAAATAAATCTTACAGAATAGAAATAAAAATAGGGATAGTACCTAAACATAATAATATCAATTCTTCATACAGTAGGTACTTTCATTTAGTTCAGTCTATGATTTGTACCATTAAATGTACAAAACTGAAATGATTTTTATGTTTTTTTTTTATTTTCGCAGATTCCCTAAAAATGAAGTGCTGCGTCAGAAGTGGCTTGAAGTCATTCGATGATTTGTACCTTTAAAAAAACCCAAAGTACCAGAAGACTTTTAATGTATAAAACTTTGCTATCGATATCGATACTTTTTGGTTTTGACTACAGTACTTCCCTAGCAATGTCAGCCATTTTTAGGCCTCGGTTTCTATTAGGTATGCACGCGTATTTTGTAGGTATTTCTGGTCCATATTATAGTAGGTCTGTGCATTGAAACTAAGACGTTAACTGAAGGATCAGTGTTACCAACACAGATTCAGCAGAACCAACTTAGAATATTTTTGTGAGTTGTGAAATTTAGTTTAGCTTAGTACGTTTTATTTTAGACGTTGTCCCACATTAGGATTTTCTCCTGTGTCGTGGGTGCGTTAACAAACATACAAGTTCACATATACATGACATCCAGACCCGAAACAACAATTTGTGGATCACATAAAGAGAATATCGTCATATCGTGCGGGAATCGAACCCGGGACACGTTGCGCGGCAGCCGGTTGCCTAACCAGCGAACCAACTGTGCAGTCAAACTATATTGTTAAGCAACTTCCATTGTCCTTGGCAAAGAGAAGGCCTTGGTCCTATCCCATCGTTCCAAAGAGTATAATAATAACACACATAACATAACATCACGCCTTTTATCCCCGAAGTGGTAGGCAGAGGTGCACATTATGCCACTGTACAATGTAACACCCACTTTTCACTATTTATGTTATGAGTCCCATGTAATAGGGGGTGAGCCTATTGCCATATACCGGGCACAATTCCAGACTCCGTGCTACTACTGAGAATTATTTAAAAACCCAGTAATACTTTGCCCGACCCGGGAATCGAACCCGAGACCCCTTGCCTGGCAGTCGCACTTGCTACCACTCGGCCAACGAGGCAGTCAATATATAATAATAAGTATAAGGAAATCCGTGCACAGCTACAGCGACGAACTGTGCACGCTCGCCAGCGGCTACGTAGGTTTTGGGTATAAATCCCATATCCACGCAAAACACAGTTACAGACGAGGCGAGCGAATCTAGCGTGCTAACAGTGTTATGCGCCGCCACCACGGATAGAGAAAAGTGTGTGTGTGTCGCTAGTGTGAACCTCTCGTATTCGTTTAATAGGGAATTAGCTAGTGTCACACCATTAGACATTCAATATTTGGCAGCTGCTGTGATTGGACAAAAACTCTCTCTACAGTTGCTCCATCTGGTGAGCAAAAAAACAGTGGCCTCTATTTAGGCATAATTTTAATAGCACTTACTTTGTTGGCAACACTGATTTGGTTATCAGTAGTAATAATAGAGGAGCGACGTTGGAAGTCGTTCTTTTCATTTTCAAGTTAATTGTATATCAGAAAAGCAAGCAGTCACAGCGTGGTAATTCAGGTAAAATTTCCATTTACTTAATTCAAGACTGCAACGCTTGTATTAATTTTCAAATCCTTATAAACATATCAATTTGTCATTTTTTTTGTTCAAAATGAAACACAAAATCGATTAAAATAGTCGAATATTAGTCGAAATAAAATGAGTTGTATTGTCACAATAATAAAAAATCTCACTAAGTCACCACTCCGTGCTCATCTACTATTGATAGGTATACAATCCAAGACAAGACAAGTTTTATTTCTGTTTTTATATTCGATTTTACTTGTAGCATTCATGTAACCAGGGCGATTTTATTCTTGTGCTTATTAACTCGTCAGAAAATAACATAAAAATGAGTAAAATTAAGTGAATATGTTTAAATTCATTTCGGATGTTGAGTGTTGACAATTATTGCAAGAGTTACGAATTTACCTTGTACGTTTAATCTTCGTTGGAACGATATGGAACGGTATTATTGTTAATACAATGACCGAGAAGGGCTACGAGGGCGACCAGCTGTCACCATCCTGGGATATTGCTGGTCCATCGTCTCTGGCAGCCATCCTGGATACTATGTTTACATCTACAACTTCTGACAGTCACCAGAGAAATGGTAAATAGATAGCACTTTTACACAATTTGTCTTTTGCTTCATGTAGGTTTATTCAGTTAATTCTCAAACTATATTTCATCCAACATAATAAGTAAATTGGCCTTACATCCTGTTAGTGCTATTTTTGTATCAGGATATGAATTACCTAAAATGTGTGTTATCATTATTATCATTTTGTTACATTACATGCACATAATAAAATAAAAAACAACACATGCCAAAAAGATTATGTTTAAAAAAATGGCATGGTTTTAAAGCATGATATTTATTTGAAACATTTTTTTCATACAGTATTTGCATGGTATTTTGTTATGTATGTAAATTAGAAACAACATATTTGCAACTGATTTCCCTATCTTAGTAATAACTGGAGTTTATTAACTTATTGAAATATTTGTTTTAAAAAACATCAATTGGTACTTACCCAAACAACACAGAGCCAAATACAACAACTCGTCTTATAGATTGCTGTGTGTTACTGTGCATTCTCTTATACTATCCTTACACATAAAAGGTCCAGTCTCATCTCCTTATCTAGCATAATGGAGGTTGAAGCAAGATGCAATTATCTTTTATTGTGTCTGCTATAGCAGTAGATGAAAGATTACCAAATGTAACATAATTTTTTTTACCTGAAGTTACTTGCATTAGCCTTCATAGTCGATTCCCATAATGTAAGCATACTTTTGGTTAGGTAAGAGTGTTCCAGGATGTTAAAACTCTTCTATCTAACTGTAAAATCTAACTGTAAAGTTTAACATCAAAAAAATTTTTATCAAATATTGATAAAAGTAAGTATTTTGTGGAACCAGTATTGTTTTGCACACAAGAGGCTTCCATCCAATATTTATTCCGGTCAGCATGCAAAGGGTCAATGTTCCCAAGATGTCTTCTTTTTATTAAAAACACTGGTATGTTCTGTCAACATAAGTGGAGGGAGTTTCCTGCTTGTTCTTCATTCAAATCTTAATTTTGGAATGAGTACTTACCTTCACTGATGGACAGACTAACAGATTATTATTTATTTTGTATTTGTTGATGTTTCAAACATACCAAATTGTAGTTTATTTGAAATGCTTTGATTTTGACTTTAAACATGTGAAATGTAAAGCACTTAAAACAATACATATAGTTTGTTATTCATATGCTGGTATACACTTCAATCAACCACAATAGAATCAATCTCCCATTTTATTTCTAGTTAATTAATTTTAAATACTACATTGGCACCAACTAATGTAAAATCAAAGCAACAAGTCTATGTTAGTAATTTTAGTCAAAATGTCAAATGTAGCTTTTTTTATAAATACCCTGCATTAATCAATAAAATATCAGTGACATAGATAAATGTTTGAAAATTTTCATGAAAATCTATTCTCTGAGTTGATTTATTTTAAGAATCATGAGTTTTATTTTGTTGTTGTAACTAATTATTTTATTCATTAATTAGTAATCAACATGTTAACGATTGGGGTACATAGACTGAGACAAACTAATAGGTAGAACACTACATTTCAGTCATTCATTAGTCACAAGTGGATTTTGGGCTTTTCTTATCTTGAGGTAACCTTATACTTACAAATACCATAAAATGCCTGAGTCCATGTGAGAAGAGTCCATTATCTAGCAGTAGGACATTAATACAGTGTACAATTACATGTCTACTATTAATATACAAAGTTCAAATCATTATTGATACAATTCCATAGACAATGTGTATCCAAATGAATTATTATGTTTTCGGCTTACTCACATATAAGCCAAAAACATAATAATTTTTTTAGTATGTCTCACGAAAGTTACAATACAAATGTGTATCCAGTTTCACCTCTCTATAGCCTATAATAATATATTATTCCTCTACCTTCAGAACAAATGGAATGCGATGCATTATTTGCAGACAGTGACGATGAAGTAGAAGTGCTCCCAACAACATCAGAACAACGGGAAAACTCTGCCGCGTCAGAAATTAATTCAGCTGGAACACCTAAGCCGGTATCATCAAATTATGTGAACTCAACCACCCCCAACCAACCATATGAAGTGAATCTATCTTCTCTCTCACACCCTGCAGACTCACACACTCCTGTCCCTGAAGAGTACCAACCCTTACCTGACAGCTCTAGCTCACTCGACTACTCCTTTCGTAGTAATACGGACAGCACTGACAATGGTGGCCAGAGAAGACTCCCCGAAATAAACATTCGCTACCAGCCAAAACCTCACTCACTTAACCAGCAAGGTTATTATTTCCCAAATTATGCTCATTATCCAGGCATTCAGCCAAGGGAGTATGGCGTGCCATACCATAACAACGTAATTGTTCTCAGTGATGGTAGAAATTTCTTACCACCTCCATTGCCATTTTCGAATGGTCTTTCTGTGCCTGAAAATCTTTCAGAATATGACTATTTAAACCGAATGTCAAATGTTTACAATCAAAGACCTGCACAAGGGGTTAATGGAAATCCAGCAAGTAGTTTAGAACGTCCTAGTCGCAAACTCAACATCTCTCCTCGAAGACGCCACTCGAAAGAGAATGAAGTACCTAATCTAATAGAAGTTAGCTCTGAAGAAGAAGATAATGTATCTGTGCCAAGAAAGAGACAGCGGGAAAATTCGGCCTTCAACCAGTATTCGAGTATACATGGGAGTAGTGCTGGAAATGGAAGTGGCAATCAGTCTGCGGATGCAGCTAGAGTGGAGGTAAAGGGTGAACCTGGCAATCCTGTTAGGCAAGCGAGTGTTACTATACGTAATGCAGCTAATCTACTACTGCAGACTATAGAACGACAACAAAATAGTCAGAACCACAACATGGAACCACAAAATATGTCTACAGTGAAGACGCAAATAAAACAAGAAAATACAGGTAGTGGATCTCGTAGTGATTGTACATGCGCAGTGAATTTACAAAGTAACTCACAGCCTACTCAGAATCATAGCAACAATTGTCACAGTCCTAATCACAACACGCAAAATGGATCTCAATCAAGCAGGACGAATAATCCGAGTTCTAGTGGCGAGACGTCGGCGTCGGGACTGCTTGTAAAAGTGAAGGAAGAACCTGGGACGCAGCAGCCGGTAGTAAAGCAGGAGCCAATAAAAGAGGAGAATATACCGTCAGTGAGCGTAATTAAAACGGAAGCAACAGAGCCGGTGCAAGTTAAAACAGAACCAAGCACATCTAGTGTCCCTGTCCCTGATAACGTTGAGGTGAAGACCGAACCTGACAATTCAACACGATGTTGCAAAGCGGACGGTGGCGGCGACCGCAGGCCGCAGGAATCATCTCCTCAACCTGGACCCAGTTCAGGAAGGCAGACTGATAACAGGCCTACAATTAATCAGGTACATTTACTTATTCAACAATTGACGTACTTATACCCATTTAATGAAACGAGATCATTGCGTATCCATATATTTTTGTGCCTTTTCTGAAAGTATATGGCCGGCCAACGAAGAAAAATGTATGTATCGTTAGTGTAGGTAGCCATTTGGAACAACGGTTAAAAGATTTCGCATTATAATTTTGTATTACCTCAAATACTTTATTCTATCATTATTTTGCGTCCTAGCACCTTTAGAAAGTAGTAAGTGTATGAAAATGATGAATCTTCGAACTGGTTTAACTTCTTCATCATGGATCCCACAACTTTTACGCCATATTGCTCCAAATGGCTAGTTCTAATGATACGTACCATTTTTTTCGTTACCCGACACTTTCAGAAGTTGCCCAAAAAATATATCTTTTTCGACGTAGTTTTTATGTTATGTAGCTGCTGTCACCAGAACCACCACGAGAGAGAGGCAATTTACTGTTGGCCCCGGACCTACAACTGGATTGGGTCTCAGATTCCAGCTCTGACGATGGTGTTATGCTAGTAGGAGACGACTCCATTGGGGTAAGAATATTTAACAGGTCCTGAAGTCATTACTCGTGGAGCATGATAAATGGGCTGCTCGCAGCTACGTATTATTATGCCAGTCAAGTTTCAAGGCTTTTTATTTAGCTCATGCAAGAGTGAACTCTAGTGTTGCGGATATCCGTGGGGGGAGCTGATCGCTATCATCAGCTGATCCGTTCACTTGCGATTCTATTGAAAATGCATGAAAATTGAGGGATTGAAAATTATTTATTTCCTACTCCTTTTAATCCTTTTCCCATTACCTACGTGTTTTAAAAGGTTGTTATTTTCAATGTTTATAGCAACATGAGGTAATAGACTTGACGGGTTCGCCGGGCCGGGCTAACTACACGCAGGGCTACGAGCGGGCGCCAGGCGAGCCTGCCTCGGGCGTCTGGACCTCCACCACGCGGCCTCTACTAGGTGTATCGCGCCGCAGTAGCTATGCACCACATCTCAACGAACTGCCACCACATGCGCACCTTGTGCGGACTAGGTAATAGAATGTAATATGTACCCAGGTACACTCGAACAGTTTGTTGCATGCGGCTATTAAAGATAAAGATAAAATTTGGCATTAATGATTATGATGATGGTTATGTGTTACAGGGTGCGAGTGGGTGCCTGTGGAGGCTGCCGGCGATGTTGCTGCGGACATGCGGGCTGTGCATGTTGCGGCGCACCGCCACACCCGCCGCACCACGCGCACCAACCGCCCCGCGCACACCCACGCAGCACCACCACCACGCCCCGCCCGCACACAGTGAGTACACACACACACACACACACACACACACACCCGCCGCACCACGCGCACCAACCGCCCCGCGCACACCCCACGCAGCACCACCACCACGCCCCGCCCGCACACAGTGAGTACACACACACACACACACACACCCCGCACCACGCGCACCAACCGCCCCGCGCACACCCCACGCAGCACCACCACCACGCCCCGCCCGCACACAGTGAGTACACACACACACACACACACCCGCCGCACCACGCGCACCAACCGCCCCGCGCACACCCCACGCAGCACCACCACCACGCCCCGCCCGCACACAGTGAGTACACACACACACACCCGCCGCACCACGCGCACCAACCGCCCCGCGCACACCCCACGTACAGTGAAAGTAAATTAATTCTTTATATTGTGTAGTGGGGGAGCGTCGCCGGGATGGCCTGTCTGTCGTCCCACCGTACCCCGTCCACGAGAGGCTCTGGCAGCGACAGCATCACACGATGGTGAGTGTTCATGACATACTGCTGCAATACTATTCCTTTCTTATGCTATTAATCGCTACTTCCGCAGTTTCACTCGCCCTGCTCGGTACCAATTGATCATAGCGTGATGTTTTATAGCCTATAGCCTTTCTCGATAAATGCACTATTCAGCAAAAAACAATTATTTAAATAGGACCAGTAGTTCCGGAGATAAGAGCATTCAAACAAACGTCAGCCTCGACGGACTGCTTTTGTATCTTTCTAACCCATCACTTCCATAAAATACGGGGTGGAAGTTTGTAGGAACATTTCACAATTTTCAAGGTAGAAAGCTAATTTCTTTTTTTTTTCTTTTGTCAGCTTGCCCCCAACCCCAACCTTTTGTAAGACCGCGAGCGAAACCGTCGGGAGAAGCTAGTCCATGAATAAAATGTATTCAGTTCAATTTGACATTAATTTTCCTTAAAATCCCTTATTCTGATGCAGCTAATCACTAAAACCCACAGCATTTGCCTTCAACAGTTTTCTATTGATAGTCAAAATATTTTGGTAGGTTTTTCACACACCGGGTTACATTATCGGAATTTTCACACATGTTTTAAATGTTAAATGTAGCTTATTTTTATCAAGGACAATGTAGGATTCCAACAATAAAAGAATTTTTCAAATCGGTCTGGTAGTTTCGGAGCCTATTTAATTCAAACAAACAAAAGAATCAAATCTTCTTTATATATTAGTGGAGATACCATTATGTAAAGCGATGAGTTTGTTTGTTTGAACACGCTAAGCTCAGGAAGTTTTGGGCCTCTCACCTCATTTATCGAATGAGGTTACGCTATCAGCTATAAAACATCACGCTATGATCAATAGGAGCCGAGCAGAGTGGGTGAAGCGGAAGTAGCTAGTACAATATACATTTTCCTATAGACGAAGCAAACAAATGTCAATATGTCTGATACTTTAATGAACCAATATTGGTACTTGTGACACAACATGGACTAATAAATGGAATGTTATTTTAAAATTTTTAACACTGTTAATTTGGTCATAACAATTTGAAACAATGAATAAATTATAAAATTTCGAGATTCAATAAAATGAAGTAACATGGATATAATGTTACCGACAGCTTTTATTTATTTTGGCATCTATATATTTCCAGGAGCTGCAACGTCGCAGTATGATGGGCGATGCATTCGGACAAACCTTCGCCCACTTCCCGCACGCGCCGCTCCCGCCAACCACAGTGCTCGCTGTATATTCTTGTTTTATTTTTTTACATTTACTTTTTGAAACTATTTCCTTTATAAAAAGTCACTTTAGGTGTATAAATCTGTTAGCATAGTGAACGAAACAGGAGCTCAAACTGATGCCGAAAGATGTTATCGTCTACTCAAGCTACAGAGTGAAGTTTGATTAGACAAGCTTTTATTTAACTCGTCTCATTGCAGTTCCCGGACGAATTGGAACGTGATATGCCGATACCGCCTCCGCCACCACCTCCGATGATGCTGTAAGTAGTTACAAGTTCAAATATTGTTGAATTGACTTACAAACCAACTTATTTCAATCGTCAAGATCTAATATTGTCTTCAGAATTTCTGTCTGTTACTTGCCTTATTGATATTTTGGTGGTGAACATGGTGACCTTTTAATTCCATGGTCGCTTTAAGACGAATTATCAAGACTCGTTTATGCCGGTGTTAATTTGTGCCTAAATATCGATATACTCGTACCTACTGCCTGTAATATCCTGTTGACCATAAACCGCGCGGCGAGAACAAGTGTATTCGCTTCTAGGCGGCGGCGACTGACGAGCCGGGTGATTGCAGCCATTCGCGGGCAAAGACCCGTCACTACGTCGAGGTATCACGAGCCTTTATACTGTCGTAGGCGAAGTGTAGATTACTACCAATTACTCTGCTAAATGTTACAATCGCTTCGTCTTACAACTAACTACTCTACGATCGTACTCTACGAGCATTCCGTTTGCAAGAACATTTTCGATGTAATTATCACAAGTATTTGTCTGCTACACCTTGGAATTCTTCATTTTATAAGTGAATTAACGACTGCCGCTGTATGTAGAACTTGTCTCATGGAATCTGTATTTTTTCCAGTGACAGGCAACATATCCACCACCATATGCATCATTATATGCAGATGCACCCTTCGCCGCCCCATCTACACATATCCATCCAGCCTTCTTTCATGGTGAGATAATTATATTGTATACTTGTTACATATTACAGTTTTCCTAGTATCAATGCTCTTATTTTTGGGTCTTAGTCTGGTGTTAGTGAAGTAACTGTGTGATGTGTTAGGGGACGGCGACTATGGCGGCAATGGTATATGCGGCGGAAGCGGAGGAGGCAGAGAGTCGAGCGTGGCGTGGGCGTGGGGCTTCGAGCGCGGTCATAGAGAGCAATACGTACCGACACGCGTACAGGCCGGCGCCCAGCCACCAGGACGAGAAATGTACGATCTGCCTTTCGATATTCGAGGTGGACTCAGATTGCAGGTGTGTTGTAGTACTTCAGCTTACATCTCATCGTTTGTTTCCATTACAACATTAGACAAAACTGTCCCATTATTTCAGGCGCTTGCCATGTATGCACCTTTTCCATATGGAATGCGTGGACCAATGGCTGAGTACGAACAAGCACTGTCCTATATGCCGGGTGGATATTGAGACACATCTCAACAAAGATGCCACTTTTTAACTACAAGGTAAGTCACACCAAATACAATATATTTATGACTCCAATATTCTATAGCCCTATGAATCCTCATTAGGTTATCAGAATCCTTTGTGGGATTCTTTTGGGCATTTCTGAAATTTGGAAGGCTTTTAGCTTATATGATGAATGTATACAAAATTACAAAATAAAACTAAGACATGCACTTTATAAGTTTAGTTTTTTATGTAGTGCATATATTCAATAGTAAACTAAATTTTTTCTAGTACATTTCTTATGTAGTAATGTCATTACTTATTTAATAAATAAGTTGTACTACAATTTAAATAGCAAATTACGCATATTATAACTTAATTTTGATATATGTTGCATTGAACAAATATTAAAGTTTAAGTAAATGAAAACACAGATGCAAACTGTAACCACTTTATAATTTGAATTTAGTATATACAAAAATCCTTGTGTTCGTCTTGTTTGAGACCTATCTTGACCTTAACTTAAGTAGATTTTAAAACTATCTAACATTAAAATTAAGTCTTTAATTTGCTTTTTGGACTTGTAACTTCATGTTTCAACTTCTCCTCCAGCTGAGGAGCACTGAGGATGGCTTGTTGCTGCAGTTCCAGACTTTCCTGCTGCAGTTCATGCGTCAGCTGTTTCTGCATGTTGCACGACCTGCAACATTTACACTACTGCCACTATTATGTATATACACTGAATATCAATTAAGCATAAGAATATTTTTTGTTTTATAAAGTTTTGTTACTTTTATCATTATTACAAAGTTAGAAGTCAAAAGAAGTGACTATTGTTGTTTTACATATTAATGTGCATATGAAGTATCAAATATATTAAAGTAAATAATAAATGCAATCTGTTAATTTAAAGCACTAAAAATTGTAAAATATCTTATAAAAAACATAACTTGCTATAAATAAACTCATTTTTTTTCTATGTATACTTTTTTGTTTTTACCTGCATGCATGATCGATTCTTTCACAAATGGCATCTGAAGCGACAATGTTTCCTGATAAATAAGATATCTCTGCAGCTACTGTTGCTAACTTTTCTGCATAATCCATATAACCTGAGAGTTTGAGATACAAATGATTAGCATTATTGTGTTTAAAATAACTCTTGGTAAATTTAAAAATTCATAATATCTCAATGTAATAGAATCCGAGATGAATGTTTGTCTATAAATATAAATGATACTTACTAAACAAAGTGTGGAGATTATGCCTCAAATCACACAGTGACCCTCTGACAGCCACTAGTTGGTCCCAATGATGAGGTGGAGTGCCATCTTCACCCCACTCTAGGGCTTGTTTTACCAAACAGATCTCCCTTGTCAGCGCTTCACGCAGTCTGAGACATTTTTTAAATTTATTTATATGTACTGTGTAGTAATATGAATGATGTATTGATGTAAGTTATGATGTTGTATGTATAAAATGTATAAATAAAATTATGATGCAATAATTCAATAATCTTTTACTTACTAATAATCACAAAGATAACATTATTGGGATAAGTGAATACTTACCTTTCACTTGTATCTTGGATAGCGACTAATGTAACAGTAAGAAGTTGCGTAGCCGCATTAACATTGATAGTCGTAGCTTGGCGAATTAAAAAGTCATGTTCCAGACTATCTGCATCCCACATAACTTCCAGTTCCTTTTGCTTATCGTTACAATAAGCTGTAGTTAACAGTCCCAAAGTCACTGGGGTATAATTTCGAATTTTTGGGACAATAATTCTACGGTGAACTTGGCAAGCAGTTTTCATAAGAGTAAATAATCGGTATCTAAACATTGTGTTAGTGGGATAGGCAGGATAGTCTGACAAAATTTTAATGGAAAATTTTACTTCATTTTACGTTTTTTTTTGAAAAGCAAAATACACAGACACAGTAGATTATTTTTTTACTTTTAGGTTAATATTTTGTGTTTTGGTTTTACTTTTTTGACAGATTAATTTTGGTTTTGGATTCTGATGTCAAGTAGACATTACATAAGTGTTGCCATACTAGAAAAATAAAAAAGGAGAATTCATTATTCCAAAAAATCCTGTGATCCTCTGGCCTCTGGTGTTCTTGGGCGGCGCTGCAATAGGGCCACAGACTTAAAATAGTTAAGCAAACCCAACATTACCTAAAATTTGTGAAGCCAAAACGCCTCATGCGCATTTTGTAGCTTACGGGGCCGGACTAAAGTCGCTATTAGGAATTAAGGACATTATTTGGTACCTACATAGACATAAGCGTCATTTTGGGATAAGTAGTATTTATAAATACTGAATAAATATCCATTTTTAATATATAATTTTTATGTACGTTTTACCGGAAATGTATGAGAATACTATGAAAATATAAATCCGATACTATTTAGGTATTTAGAAACTGTAAAAATGATTTGATACGTAAGTATGTATTGATTAATTTTAAATCCTAGTAATATGGAAAATGTATAAAAGATTGCTTTTTTAAATAAAACACGGTGAAGGGAGAGTAATATTTTTTATTAAGGCAATTGATAATTATGGTAAAGAATAGTGTGTAATAGTCATCGTGTTTCAAACTCAAACTCTTTATTTGCATGTTAAGGTAATACATAAAGGTCTTATGAAATAACAGGCACAGCTTAACGGCCTTTTTCAGGCGTTGCAAATTTTAGGGGGCCACCAGCTTTCACCAGCTTATTATAAATTACATTTTGGTTAACATTTTTTTACATATTTATTTATTTGTTCGGAATATAGGTAAGTACTTTAAGGTATATAATATATTAGTGGGTAAGTGCAAAATGTAAGTGGGGGGATTTGGTCTGCTTATTGTACGTCCATGGTAAAATACATACATAAATACATAGCAATATGGCGGCACGCGAAAAACTGGCTACATGTCAATATTTATCCTTGTGTGGAACGGTGTGGCTACAGGTAAAAGAAAGAGACCATTTTTTGGTTAGTGCTTGACAGAACAAGGATAAAGTATTATGGATATCTTAAGTATACGTATACTTAACTAGGAATTAATGTTTGGTTTGCTTATTGTAAGTCTATGAATAGGGTGGATCGATTACTATCGGGAGATCCGTATACTCGTTTGCTTCCTATGTCCTTTCCTTCCGTCCGATCCCCCCATAAAAAGGGGACTAAGAGAAGCGTGTTTCACAATGTTTGAATAGCCGTTATGTACGATGATCTGGTACTGTGTACGTTGAATTAAATAGATGTTATGATGCAGCACCTCCTAACAAAGGATTTTGATCAATTCTACTCCCAAGGGGTAAAATAGGGGATGAAAGTTTGTATGATACTCTGTCAGTTTTACACCGAACAGGCTAAAATTCAGCATGCAATTAAAAGTTATGATACAGACAGGGTGGAATGTGGAACTGATCAAAATCCTTTCTTAGGATAAAATTTGTATAAATCTTCTTAGCCATTGAATCCAAAAATTCGTTAAAACGATAGTTTCAGACCTGGGAAACAATATATCATAGTTTTTATCACTGAAGTCGAGAACTATGTGTTTATGCCACCGCTGAACTTATTTTAGAGGTATTTGGTACAATATTATTAACCCGAGCCAGATCGGGTAAAATCACGCGGAAGTAGCTAGTCTATCCTATAAATATATAAGGTGCTCTATAATTTTTAGCCACGGCTTTAATGGGAGGTAGTGTTATGTTTACAGATTACAATTGTGAAGAAATTTCGTGCCCCAGACCAGTTAATTACATACAGTAATTAAGTAAACATTGACTACATTCTGCATAATGTGGTTCACAAATTACGCACGATGCGTCGCTTAGTCAATGAAAACAATTGCTATCTCTTTCCACGTGTACTGAGAATGAAAACGGAAATCAGCTGACTAGTTCGTCACTATCTAATCTACTAGATACTCAATAGGCAGGCTAACAAGGGTTTTAAAAGTGCAATTACTTACCAGGTACGGCATTCTTCCGAAAAGCTGATGTAGGTAAATAAGATTATAAACTTCCCATCACACTTAAAACAGTTTTTTACACACTCTCTACCTACTTATCTACAAAACTGTTGCACAAGTCCACCTTCGCGTTGCACACAAATGAAGGCACGCTTCCAAACATGTCATATCACATTATTTAACGTGTCCGTTTCACTTTTACTTAGTTTCGCGTTTGACTCCACAAGTTATTGTCTCTATCATCGTAAACTCCGGCGGTATCCCTTGTGCACGCAAGAAGATGACACCGAAAGAACTCTAACACTTCTTCTTCGAGTTCTGATTTGAATTTCGTCGCCTGGGAGTCATTTTTACGTAGCGCGCGCGTATCTCCGACATTAAAACTAACGTGCGGGCAGGCAGGGGTTGACGGGGCTACTGGCGGCCGGGCGGCGCGTGCGACGAGTTCTGCTGGGGTGTGTTGTCTCGTTCTTGAACGCCCCGTCATACGCTGTTGCCATCCTTATCAGACCGCTCGCGCCGGGCGGCTACGAGCACGCTGCACACCCCCGCGCGCCCGCACCCTCTCCTGCACTCGTCGCACGCGCTGGTCAACCGGCCGCCGGGCAGGCGGGGGTTGAGCTACTGATAAGGATGGCAACAGCGTATGACGGGGCGTTCAAGAACGAGACAGCACACCCCAGCCAGCAGAAAGAGATAGCAATTGTTTTCATTGACTAAGCGACGCATCGCGCGTAATTTGTGAACCACATTATGCAGAATGTAGTCAATGTTTACTTAATTACTGTATGTAATTAACTGGTCCGGGGCACGAAATTTCTTCACAATTGTAATCTGTAAACATAACACTACCTCCCATTAAAGCCGTGGCAAAAAATTATAGAGCACCTTATATAACAGAAGTCGTGTTATTACTATTTATAACTCGAGAACGGCTAGATCAATTTGGCTAAAAATTGGTGGGGAGGTAAATATTTAAGTACTTCAAGTACAAAATCATGTGCAGCGCAAGTATCCTTATTATTTAATTTGCGCTGTACGAATTGCCTTGTGCACGACTGTGGCGCCCTCATTTGTTTTCATTACCTATTAAATAGACAGATTGGTAATCGATTCATAAAGACACGAATAACTTGAATTTAGATTAGAAATCGGACTAGCCAGGTTTTAGATTTTCGCTATTTTCCCGGGTTCGGATAAGACATAATGCAGAACTGACGGGATATATGTATATCAATAAAACAAAGTAGTTTATCATATTATGTACATTATATTACTAATAAAGTACTGTCAGTGGAAAACCTGGGAATAATCTTTTGGTTCTTCAAAAGTAGTATTTATGTTGAAGTCTAAAACTGAAACTCCTCTATCTATTGCTGTTATAAGTTGGTAAGGGTCGAAATCTAAACTATACACGGGAGAGGCTTTCTTTTGTGTAAAAAACATCTGAAAAATAAATAAAAATATTATTAACAAAGTACAATAATACTCTGCCAATTGTAATGCAAAATGACGATTATTAAATATTAACCTGTACGTGATGTATTTGTTTGCGCGTATCGAATAAAACGCAACGCGAATATTCAGCCGATCCTGCCACCATTGCACATTGTCCATCTGATTTGACGCAATAAAACGCTGCTCGAAAAGGATCCCACGAATGGTACACCTGTAGACCAAACTTTAATTATTACGTCTGAATGCGCAGCCTGTAGTACTGATTTATAATCGGATTCTGTATAAAAACTATTCAGATTTGATACATAATATGCTTTAGACTGAGCTGGCACAATAAATGCATCTAAGGAAACAAAGGTTGTTAGTAATGGGTCCATGAGCGGCGCCATCGCTTATCATTAGTTGACTTGTCTGCCCTTTTACCCAATATTCTATAAACATATAAAAACTAAAAAACTATACCATTTCATGAGATCTTATGTCTAATAACTGCAGGTGCCCTGCATGAGTGACATATAATAATGTGTTGTCATTATGCCATTGGATGTCACGCACTGCTTCCTTGCGATTCTTTGTTGTATCTGCCGCCATCAGAACCCTGGGGCTGAAATAATATTAATATTACCCTTGAATCGTAAAATTTTTATTTTAGTACTATTCTTTGTCTGCTTTCTGGTATTACTATGAGCTACTTTATTTAACACTAGCTTTTACCCGCGGCTTCGCTCGCGTCACAAAAGGATAAAAAGCCAATGTGACATATACAATACACACAGCGCCATCTATACCTACCAATACTTTTGTTTTCCCTCGGGAATATGAAATTTTTCCGGGATAAAAAGTACCCTATTATTTAATTCGGACTTCTAACTATACATCTGCAAAAATTTAAAGCAATCGGTTTAGTAGTTACGGCGTTAAAGTGGAACAAACAAACAAACTCACTTTCCAATTTATAATATAAGTAAGGAAAGTAAGGATAAGTAAGGATTATCATCAATTAGCAAAACATTACAATCGTTATTTAGAGAAGAATTTGACCTATTAAGTTGTAAATAAACCGATTTTTGATATATTATAATATTGTGGTACTACAAATGTACAATGGAGATAAATAAATATGTAATGTTTATAAAGAAAAATTACCTACTTATTCACATCAAGCAAAATGGGTCTACTGTTGCCAGTTAGACCTATTGCTAATTTGTCAGATGTACTATTAAGAGCCATACATTTTGTGCCAGCAGTTTCATACATAGAGATATTAAATAAATCTGAAATGAAGAATAGAAAAGATTAGTACTGTGTCGTTATTCTACTTCTTTTTTGAAAAGCTTTAACAATTATTAGTACTCTGACACAAACACAGTATAAAATAGGAGCAGTATAGATATAGATAATATTATTGTAAGTTCCGAAATTATTTGAATGTACAGTTATTTGTAGATATTTTAGTAAATTATTTACTTGACAATAACTAAATCAACATCAAGGTCATATTGTTAGTACATAGATAGATGTATAGGTGTTTGAACGAACATAAAAGTAACAAGCAACTCCAATATATTAAAAGAAGAATAAAACTAAGTCATAATAATTATAAATGATAATGATAATAAATAATTTGTGGCATTACATGGTTTATATATTTTAAGTAAATAGAGTACTTACTCTTATCATTGCCTTTGCAAATATAAGTAATATTATCACTTTCTTTCTTTAGGCCATAAAATTGTAATTCTGAACTATTACTAGAGCCGGTAACAACTATGGTTTGATTTCTTCCATCAAATACTTCAACAGCTGTTACCTCCACTGCACCCCTTTTATGACAATCTTGTACATGATATTGTAAACATGGCCTCTTTCTTGTGTTATTAAGTTTATACACTGCCAAACAGCCATCTCTAAAAAAGGTGATAGTAAAATTCTTATCAGATTCTTATTAGATTTTATAGTGTTTTTTATAATAACTATTGTAAGACATACTAAATAAACTAAAATCACGGGTTACTCTACTAGTTTACTAGATAGGTACACCTACAGTAGGCTGCGAGACATCGCCGCAAACGCACACTCTGCTCAGGAGGAAGATCCCCTCTTTGGTTCGAAACTACTAGAGCTTTTCTCAGTATATTCATGTGAGTAACCCGCGATTTTCAGTTAGTTTAGATTTTATAGTCCAGTTGTTCTTTTAGTTTATGATTCACTTTTTTTCAATTCTGTAGATCATAATTATTATGATTCCTATTTCGGCCCTATACTTTATTTTAACCTTTATTTAAACTGTCAAACACCAAGCAGTCACCGGTGACCGCAACCTATTGTTCTTTAACTCGTCGAGTACGGGTTTTATAGACACAAATAAAGAACAATAGGTCGCGGTCACCGGTGACCGCTTGGTGTTTGACAGTTTAATTGTGTCTATAAATACGGTACTCGACGAGTTAAAATTATTGATAAGATAACATAAAGATAAATGACAACACACCATATATACATTTACCCACTTCTTACTATTTTTTTATTCATAACAGTGTGTTGTATACACACTCTGTTATGAATAAAGTATTAGTAATCAGTACATTGTCACAAAATAAAGTACAACATACCTATTTCCACAAGCAATAATATCATTTTTTATGATAAACCTGGAGATATCATTGGTTCTCACATCATGTCTTGGTATTTTAGGAACTTCAACCTTCCATAGAGCTTCTCTACAGTTTGGTGTACCTTTTCTATTGGTAGGGTAGCAGTGAAGTTCAGAACCAACTGATACAAGTAAGATTTCAGAATTGTGGAATGTTAGCCATGGCATATAGTTTGTGTAGTGCTTAATAACCAGCTGGAAAATTGAGATTATTTTTGATAACCCTAAATTTAAGTATTATATAAGTATAATGCTGATAAATAGTTTCTATCTAAGGTACATTTGTATTGTCTTTACCTTAATTCTATAATACCCATTACACCAGTTTTGCGATGTTCTGCACCGATTGTACCATAATTCAATTGGTCGTCTGAAATAATCATTAACATAGGCCTAAATAATTATGATCTAATGATACATCTAGCACAGTTCACTAACACTAAAAGAGTTCTGTTTGCTGAAGTCTTAAAAAATCACAGCAAGTACCTTTTATCTGAATAACCAATAATTAACTTATCTCGCGAGAGATGCCTCCATATTGTATTATCATTTTTTATTAGATCTTTTAAAAGCTTACAAGTTAACATTACATTATGAAGATCCTTTATATTTAATAGCTTAAATATATTTACTAAGATATCAATAGGCAATTGCAAAATATTGTCAGTCGTCATTGTACTTCTTCTTTATATCATAATCTTCTGAACATGATTATTTACTTCAGTATTTAATTAAAATCTAATTATTTTTCAAATTGATCAAGACATTACATTTTATCACAGATATTGACAAAATAAAATTCATTATGACATTGACATTTAGCTTATCAATGAAATTAAAATCATAGATAGGGCCATAGACAAGACGGTATATTGTCTTTGATTAAAAAACGTTGCCACTATTTGTACGTACGGAAACTATTGAAAACAAACAAACGTACCACACTATTATTGTACGAATGCTCCTAAAAAGCATAGTCAACTATGAAACGATTCCCTATTAAATTCAATGAACAGATACAGATTACAGACACAGAATATCTGATAATTATTGACAGTCGGTACTTACCTACCTAAAACCTTTTTACCTAATAACTGGCCCTAACTGTCATTAACTGTCATTACTAAGCAAACGTCGTCAATTTGGTTGGTCGTCAATGACAATGACAGCTGACAGCCGTAAGCAGGATAGAAGATCTGCAAATTATACAAGTTTGAAAGGGATGTAGAATTTATTAGCGTAACATTTTCTCAATCTGTTTCGTGGGGTCAAGAATATAATTAAAATTGAACGGAAACGAACACAAAATCAAATGTGATAAAAGAATTAGTTTAGCGTTTATGTTTAATTTTCTATAATTCAATAAAAATTACCTAAATTACCAATTCTCCGTCATGGAACTGTAATGTGTTTTGTTATTGTCTCAAAATAACGACGTCAAACAAAAATTATCATTGTTGTTTTATGCCTGCATTGCAGCATTGGCCGTGGCTTCTATGGATTTATTCAAAGGTGCGTATTAATGGTTTTCCATTATTAATGTAGTCAGAATCACATCTGTTGCACGAGAGTAACATGTTAGTAATTAATCCTTTGACGCGATTACGTCGAACTTTATCAAGGCCGTGGTCCGTGCTGTCTCGTACCTGGCACGCGATACTGAGTTCAGAGTTGGAAGCACTGCGGAGTAGTGTGCATTAGTGTTCAGTGGGTGGATCTCGATATCATAATATTTTTATCGCGGCTTGAGTAGCGGCTCGTTGCGCGGTAATTCTGTCAAACAATTGTTACAGCCCGAGCTGTACGCAGTTTATTGCGATCTTTGTCCTCGCCTCGCCGCATTCGAGTTCTAATCTACGATTTACTAACACAGTATCACAGTCATTGGACTTTACAGTAGACAGTGATGTTTTGCATTCTGGTGTAAGACAAGTGTTCTATAAGATTTACTAAGTGAGTTTATGTTCAACTTCTACCGTTTTTTTACAGTTTGCTAAGTGTGTTAGTGAGTTGTTAAATCTATGAGTCATTAATTTCTTACTAGAATCTTCAAAACTTGTTTTGTGAGAACTTTTTGTTATTGTATGTATAATATATGGAAATACCACAAAGTTAATAAGCATTTTATGTTGTCATTTAAATCATCTGCAAGCCTGTAAGAGGCACACTTCACAATTATATTTAGAAAAACACATGGACATTTACAAGTTTAATTAGGCATGTAACAGAAAATGTTTTTTTTTCAAAACAGTATTCAGTTTTAAGTTATTCAGAAGAATCTGGTAAATTCAGGTCTAGGTAGTTATATTCAATTAAAATTCTAATTATGAAATACCAAAACAGTTAACTTTGAATCAAGGCTAAAGTTTTATGAATTATTTATAGTAGAATTATTAATATTATTGTGAAGGTACTTTGCCATAGAGTTTTATTATTATAGATTCTATTGCTTTAATAATGAATAGACATAACTTTTATTCAAAATATGAACAAAAATAGATGTGTTGTTTAACTAAGATATTTGTCCACAGATATGAAGGGCCCAACACGGCCAGCGCCCAGTGTACCTGGTATGGGTGTAAACAGATATTCTCCTGTTACAAACTGGGACAATGACCCCTTTGGTGCAGATGTGTTTGAGCCCTCACCACATTTCACACAGAAAAAGAAACCTCCACCTCGTCCTCCACCACCCAAGGTTGCCAAGCAACCTGATATTCCAGCAAAACCCTCACACTTTATAAGAAAGCCAACAGTACTCTCTTCCCTATTAACTCGTAAACCTAAAACAGTAGTGAATAATCAAAATGTGAATGTAACCCAGCCAAGTATAATAAAAGATGTGAACAGTGAAGTGGACACTCTTAAAATGTTTCCTAAATGCGAGCCAAAGAATGTGCAGACAGGTGCTTTGATAGATCTCTCATCGCCTCCCAGCTCTCCTACATTCACCACCAGATCGAGCAGTGATGGTCTCAGTGTGGACAGCTTTGGCTCAGATGCTACTACATCCACCAATCATCACAATGCCCACAATGGTGGAAATGCCTCACAAGCTGAGAGTGGTTTTGAAGATGATTTTGATCTTTTCCTACATTCAAGGAAGCCTGTGGGTAAGGAGGACACAATGGATGATTTTACTTCTATTGACCCATTCTCACCCCAACCAATAATGAACAAACCTCCTTTGAAGAAGAAACCTATTTTAAGTAAGGAAAATGTTTATGAAGTATCAAGTAATTTTACGAGCCACATATCGGGTGCTCCCATGCTGAAAGGTCCGACGATAATCCGCGCGAAGCCAGCCAGGCCGAAGCCGCCGGACAACTCTGCGTTATTGAAGAATACGTTTGGAAATAGTTTCCCTGTCACCACCATGACGGTGAACACTACCACGCCCATACAAAAGGTCTCCAACGGATTCGGTGATAGTTTCGTAAGTACATTTGCCCACCCTTGATTTCTCTTTAATGTTGTAATTGTTAATGACTAACGTTAATTCCTCGACTTAGCTTAGGTACTTTAAAAGTCAGTTTATAGTTGTTTGCCAATTTAGTTTTTTCATTTTGATTGGGGAAGTACTAAATAAATATTCTTCACCTTCAATGAGCTATTTTTTGAAACAGTCAGATTAATGAATTAACAATTTTTTATCAAAAAAGTGATTAATCAACGATATTTTTGTTATTAGTCATCAATTATCAAGGAACCTTGTAGAGTAAGCGGACACCTGTTGGTTATCGAATCGATTGACTTTTTACAGTGCTTTATTTGTATAACGAGAAAAGCATTCTAATAATTTAGTGTATAATAACAGGATGTGTCGCATCTCTACAGACCACAATGTGCGCTAGGCATTCATGCTATTTGCGTTCATGACCGTACCATTAATTAAGGTGCTTTTTTACATGATAATTATTGCAATGTCCGTGAGCTCTTTGTTTAATTGCGAGTTTTCATTCAAACGATATAAAAATAAGTAAGGAGCGTCCGTCATATCAGATTGCGTTTAACGTCCAAATTATACTCTTCATTATCTTGGACTTCATGTCATTTATTTCTACAGATTTCGATAAGATTATTGTATATGTTTCCATTTGAAGTAAAATATGCGTTAGTAAATACGTGACAGACCTTTTGTGAGATACACAGAGTTCGTTTTTAGGGCAGATCACAACGCTATTAGATAATATTATTGATCAAAGTGAAAAATTAATGATTGCGGTGGTCAGTAACCAAAGGTCTAACATAACACTAACATCTCATATTTGTGTATCATAAGACACTGTCATCACCTTTTATGAACTACAAGCGTGATAATATGAAACTGTTACGTTTCTCGTAGGAGTCGTGACTGACCGTTAAAGGATGCCATCCGCTAATGTGGTAGTTATATGCGTCATCATTTATGTAACCATAACACTAAAACAAATTATCTCTTGCAACTTTAATTTCCCGGTAGTCAATATTATGGTACCTACCCATCGTGTAGGTATGGCTTTATGCCTGACCTATCAGCAGCAACGAATCAAAAAGTGATATCGCTGATATACGCCACAATTTTGATAAAAGATAGGGTGCGAACGTTTACATTAGTTTTCTCGAAACTTTATTATTCCTTGCAGCAAATGTTATCTGGAATAACATGGAGATCAATTACTTTATTACGTGTAGTATTATAGGTTATCGTTTCTATTTCTAATTCTAGAAATGTGTACCATAAACATTATGCAATGATGATCATAGAGAAACGTCATTACACGATGTTATTGTGATTACAAAACAAAATGTTTGACTTTAGAGATCAGCAAAAACATCTCACAAATGTTCTATTAGCAACTTATTTACAACCAGATTGAAAACACACAGTAGGTACTCATATAACAATGACTCAGCTAGAATAACTAAGACGACTTTGATGCGCTCTACGTTCCGCAAATTCTGCAAATATAGGTAGATGTTTAAGACGCGGAAAATGGTATGAAATACTCGCTAATTAAATACTTGTGATCCTAAAAAAACCTAGTCTCAAAATATCTCGGCGTTTGTATTTGTAAACTATAATAGCGATAACCTTCAGCCATTTTATACACTCCATACTGAGAAGCGTTAAAATTAGTGTTGAGAATTGTTTCGCACACGTTATAATATTTAGACATATGTAGATTATGGATTTATGTTTTTGGTTTCCACAGGAGTCAAAGCAGTTAAGCTGGGATGATGAGGAAGGATCTCCGGAGAGGGAAATGTCGCCGCCCATGCCGACGATACCGCCACCTCCGCCGCCAGCAGTAGTTGACGAAGACTTGACGAGTTCCTGGACCACTGACATCCCCGATTTTGTGCCTAATCAACTTGCCAACGTCGACGATGAGGAAGAACCACACGCGATTGCTCTTTATGATTACTTCACTGATCATCCGGACGATTTATGCTTTTCGGTAAGTGTTATCTATTGATTATACCTCTAGTAAACATGAATCATCTCTGAAATTTTATCTGCATGCGTTAGATAATATTTTATTTTGCAACCACGTTATCTCCAAGATTTCGCAAGCATAGTTATACAATTCGAAGGTTGAGGATCTAGCGAAACTCGCGGAACAATTTGCAAATATTAGGTGATTTTGTTTTGTTTACATCTCGTGGCTCCTGGCCAAAACACCTGCCTATTTTTAGACATTGTTTGTAGGTGTACCGTGTACGCATCCGTATCCCGTTGTCATTGACTTAAAATCTGTATTTGCGAAGCAAGTTGAAGGTGAACTTGACAAAATTCCTACTTGGGACACATTTTCATCCATTTGACCGTGACGAGTTGACGACTGATGACAAATTAGAGATAGGACAGGATACATCTTTCTTGATTTTTACACAAAAACAGTATGTATAATAAGCGCGTGATTAAAAACTATTCCTAATGATACCATTCCTCATTAGCTAGCAGTTGTAAAACGTATATTTACTATTAACTGTATAGTACCTACTGTATACTCATTGTTGGTTCAAAAACATTTCATCTATTGTTAATTGTTTACTCTATGCACAAAATGGAAAAATCAATAAACAAGTTCTTAAAATCGTCTCTCACGACATTATTCGTGTATTTGTTTTCTTTGTACTAAGGCGTTACGAGATCATTTTATTGCTATAATTATTTTAGCACAACGTTTTGTTTGAAAACTAGCGGCTTTGCACGGGTTCAATATACATGACTCACATGACTGTATTATATATCATATAAACCTTCCTTAAAAATCACTCTATTTATTAAAAAAACCGCATCAAAATCCGTTGCGTAGTTTTAAAGATCTAAGCATACATAGGGACAGACAGACGGCGGATAGCGACTTTGTTTTATACTATGTAGTGAAGGAACAGTCTAAACTGCATTATACAACTATTTATGTAAAAACGCTACACGAGTTCCCATACTTCCTGTAATGAAACTTTATAAATTATATTAAATTACGTTAATTGATAAAGAATTATTTTTTTAACACTAGAAAGACGGAAAAAGTCATCTACCTACAAAGACGGCGAGCGGTCAAATGACTGCTCCAAGTTTTTTGATATTTTTTTATGTTTAATTGCTAGAATGGTACCTATAGTATTAAACATGGTATAATATACTGTTAATTAATTAATATGTATAGAATTTCAAATTTTATCATTTTGTTTACATTACAAAAGCCGCAAAGTGGCTTTTTGCAATTGTCGCATTCTTTATGGTTTTTGTATTTGCATTTGTGTATATAATATTTTGGAATTTACTGGATTTTGTGCAGAAGATTGTGAAGTAAAAGATCTAGACTCTTCAGGCAAGGATTCAGTTTCAGAGAGTCTTCTTCAATTTATACTTTGCTTCTAAGTTCGCGCCCTGAACTTAGTATAAATAGCCTTTGTTTCATGTAATATTCTACATTTTCCTATACTAAATGAAGGAATTATATCTAAAAGGAAAATTATCTAAATTATGTTATATCTTTGCTAGGTCTCAAATATGAAAAAAAAAATGTATTTCACCTTTGAGATGCTCGTAACATTTTGACCAGTATTTGCAAAAAGTTTCACAAGACGCATCTGTATCAACGGATTCATCGACATTTGACCACTTAGAGTAGATGCGATTTGAGGTGTGTACAAGAAATACAGTCGATAGTTGTGAAAAGACCTTGATGCTCAGGATCTTCCAAACTTCTTTCACAGCCTTTATCACTACCACAGCAACGACTACAACCACGAGAACCCGACCTGTCAACGTCTGATAAATTTGCTCGAAGTATCTGGTCTTTCAGGTCACTTCCGTCCGTAGAGGAATTCGAACTGACAAGTAATACCACATAATCGTCGTCGCTATCATGTTTTGTATTTTTAGAGTCAAAATCAGACTCATCTTCACAAATATTTTGGAAGTAACAAACGTTTTTTCATTTTCAAGACTCTAACACGTTGCGACCACAAACTACTTTCAATAATTTCGTAAAATTTCACTGACACTTGAAATGATACGGTGTCATTTGATAAACAAACTATAAACAATGAATTAGTGTATATAATTTGTATTCTACCCTCTCATGTTACACTTATAAACACTCATTGGTTGTCAGCAGTCAAATGACTGCCGCCGTCTTTGTCGGTAGATCAAGATTTTAAATAATAAATAAAAGAGTTGTGATTTATTTTCATACATAGTTGCATTTAACTAGTAAAATAAATAAAAGTCACAAAGTCTCAGTTTAAAAACTCAAATAGATTTCAAGTTATTCAACATTTAAAATCAAATTGCGGTCAAATGACTGCTCCCGTCTTTCTAGTGTTAAACAATAAAATATAGGGACAGTTTGTAATAAGGAAGTAGGTAACGATCTCGATTCCTTTAGACTTTATATATATAAAAAGGAGGTGACATAAATCTTCATTATTTTATTGTCTTTGTCCGCATATCAGAGCGTTCTTTATGGTCAAGATAAAGGTAGTTTGTAGTTGTAACGCTGAGTGTAGGATCTGTAATAGAGAAAGGTAATTAAAGTGATATCATGGGCGAGAAGCGTCAAGTGTAGGCTATGTAGGCGCGGTACACTACTTTCGAATTCATTGATACATGTTGTGTAGTTATTTACAGTATGAGTATAATATGTACAGAGGGCGAACTGGTATATCATACCCATACTTCCTAAAGAGATTCCAATCTAACAGTCTCCGTCTTCCGAGATCCGATTAGTTAGTGGATTTTTCGGTATTAACACAGAAGTTGGAATAATGCCAGATTGATGGGTATTGATTCAGGATTGGGTTAAACCTGGGTTGTTTAAATATTTCGGTCGATACTAATGATGATGTAGTTGTTACAAAGGAGTTTATGAAATTGTTACTGATACCTATGTCCCCTGCAATAGTAATATATCTTTTCTTCAATATCGTAAATTGGGAAATGAGTGCAGTAATAACTAAAGGTTATTATTATTACATTAATAACTAAAGGTTATTATTATTACATTATTATTATACATTGAATAATGTAGAATGGGTTAATATATACTAATAAACACTAAAGTATATGTTTCTATGGGCGTTGGAATTATACAAATATGCCGTTCTAGGTCTTTTGCGTGGTTAGAATTTGAATGTGATAAATCTCCTTTTTCGTTGTATGATCTAAGATCTGAATCTGACTGCTCACTTTCAAAACATTCGAGAAACATGGATATTTTCATGAATCTCAATGAACGCGAGCGTATTATTTGCACAAAAAATAGCTCAACACAAAACCCATTTATCTAGATCTGTTGCCGTATTGTAACCATTCGCTTTGTACATGTAGGCGATGTTTAAAATTCAAAGGCAGGAGTTAACAGATGTGAATACTTAACGATCGTTTGCGCACAATGCTCACCAATTGTTCAAATTTGCACTGATCGTATTTATTGTTTTTTACGTATTACCATATGCATTGCCATTCTACGTAGCTACGCAGGAACACATGGAGTGACGCAAGTAGACATTGTGCCGCGTGGTATCCGTTACGGTAAAACATGGTTTTAAGGTGTAACACGGTACCGACTTTCCGGGAATTGCTTGTTTGGGGCGTACATCGAGTCTGTTTTCAGTAATCGCTCGTGTTTATATTATTTCTGACGTATAACGCCTGCTGGCAATTTTATTGATAGTGATTGTTTTGCATTGGACGCGGCATTATCACTTAGACAGGAACTTGTTATCATCACCACTTCCCATGTGTGTCGATCGTTTCACAAGATTTTATTGAACCGATTCTGTAATTACATGACTGCTCACTAAAAGAAGTTTTACCTAGTTACCTACGTTCTTAACGTCTTTCGCACATTTAAAGTTTACTTTTGCGTACATACATAATATCTACTTTCTATTTTGTGTAGTTAGCGGCTAGCTTAGCTACTATTTAGTTACCTAGTCAGTTTAGCGTATGTAAACGTCAGCGGTGTACGAAGCCACACGGATAACGTATGGAAAAATCCAATTAAACCAATTTATTATAGAGCAGGTACCGACGGACGTATTTAGCAACACTTGCACGTGATGTGGGCGATTATGAAATGTAGGTTTATGTAGTCACTGGAACTAATAAAACCTCGACTCCGTCTGATACGAAAACCGTAATGTACAACGTATTTTCGTTCATAATTAGTGACGGTCAAGAGTAATTATTGCTTAACTCTACCAAAACCCGAACCACGGAAATAGAATGTAACATACGCACAAAATAGATTGCCTCGTTGAGCGCAGGGTCTTGTATAATCCTCGAATACTCCAGAAAATTTTGCTTTAGAACTTTTGATATCGTAATTGACGTAGTGTAAAGCGTCTGAAGCTCAGCTACACATGGGGGTATTTCATAAATTCGTAACATAACTGATGAAAAGTGGATCATCATCATTATCACATCAGCCACAGGACGTCCACTGCTGAACATAGGTCTCCCCCAATGACTTCCAGATAGAAAAGTGGATGTTACATTCAAAATGTGTAGGGACCCCTTCACATCTCTGCCTACGCCTTCAGGGATCAAAAGTCGTGTGAGCATTTGTATCATAATTCTATCTACTCCCTCAAAGAAGCCGTGATGTTATGTATTAGCAAACATTTTAACAGACTGCTTCCCAAGAAATCATACAAAATACATGCAGACGCATTTGGGATTAGGTTCAATGTACTTAGAGTGGTTTCAATTTATTTTGTTTACATTGATCATTTATATCTACATACATATGTATTTAAGATCTATATACCAATTCGTTATTGTTTTTCAATATGATAAAGGGATTTTTTGGTTCGTTGAATATCAACAACGGTGGCTATTCATATTTGTTTATAAATAAAATTCGCTTCTATAAAACGAACGACGCAGATTCTTGTGAAGTTATCGAGATGACACAAATTGTTTTGATGATACACACACACTTTAAAAATTGCGTCGTACTATTTTATTATAGACTCGTAATAATTAATAACTCGTGTATGTCCACTATCTAACGTCTGTGATAAGATAAAGCAACAAAGGTATCTTTTCCACCTTTTTTATTTTTAATACGCGTGATTCATTATTCAAAATGTCCAGATACTTTTGTAAACAAACTGTAAGATGTACGATTACGTAGATTAAAGCTTATTTGTAAATATATTTTGATTTTCTGGAACCTTTTTGAGAACCAAACTACAAAAATCGTCAGTCCCATTATTTTAAAACTCTACATTACTTTGCCCTACCCTGAGATTGATCTCTGAATTCAATTCTAGACTAGATCTTTAGATGTCATTCTCGTCATTATAACTAGCAGTATCCAGATCAAGTCCCATTAATTTTATGATTGGTTCCGTAAATGCTACATTCCCGTTTTTTTATAGGATAAGCGAGCAGACGGATCTCCTGATGGTAAGCAATCGGCATCGCCCATGGATACACCTGGAATGCCAAAGCCGTTACAAGTGCGTTACCGGCCTTTGGGTATTAGCAGTTAGAGGATTTTGGGGATTCATGGATTGGGGAGATCGGGGAAGGGAGGGGGAGGGGGTAATTGGGCCTCCGGTAAACTCACTCACAAAACTAAACATAACACAAGCGTTGTTTCACGTCGCCTCGGTTTTCTGTGAGGCCGTGGTATCACTCCGGTCGAACCGGCCCATTCGTGCCGAAACATGGCTCTCCCACACTTAAATACACAGTCCCTAGTAAGTGCATTCGTGAGTTATTGTCGTCTGGCGTGTTGCATAGTTCGTTCTGATTATACAGGGAAAGTTAATTAAGTCAGTGGGTACCTACCGATGTCTTTACCCTCGCTGTAACGTAGTTCGTAATTCGCAAGTGATTAAACTAAAAGACAAACACGCAACGTTTCGTAATTATGATGATTAGTGAATCAGAGCGGGTCATGAGTTCAGTTCAGTTATAAATCTTTAAACAATCGCATGTTGGGTTCGTACTCCCGCAGTAGAACAAGATGGAATAGAGGTCACTGCGCCTCGCTTCTCGCAGAAGGTCGGATGTATAATGTGAGGATGTAGTTATCGCGTGAACATCAGTTTATTGGGTCACTAATTACGATCGTTCAATTGAATCCACGTCCTTTGATACCGATTGATCATTCATTAGACACTAGACGGCTATTAATAAAACCTGAATTGGTATTGCTATCAATGTCAGCGCTGTTGATTTTATTCTCTTTTGTTTTTACTTGCTAGCTAGCAAGTTGTATACGTCAGTGATTATGACGTGTTTGTTGGCAATGTCTGTTTTCCAGCTTATTCTCAGAGGTTCATAAACTCAGCAAAAAATAGAGGACAGTTATTTAAATATCGCGTGATTTTAAAATGCTGCGTTGCTAGCGTGAGCATTAGATAGTAGGTACTTTAGATTCAGGTAACAATGTATGTTGCAGTTCAATGTCTCAAGTTAGGAATTGTTATTTACAGGCCAACTCGAAGATAAAGTTGATACGGCGAGTGGACCAAGAATGGCTGTTTGGCAGATTGAGGAGCGGCGCGCAGGGTCTGTTCCCGTCCAACTACGTGGAGATCAAGGTTCCATTACCTAACGAGGCTGCACCACCGACACCTCTCATCGGCGTCGCCGTCGCACTCTACGACTTCGAACCAGTAGAACCAGGCGACCTACGTTTCGCCACAGGTGACACTATACAAGTTAGGAATAAACTGAACGATGAGTGGTACTTCGGCGAATGTAACGGACTGAAAGGACAATTCCCGATTAACTATGTACAGATGAGTTAAACAAGGAGTTTGATTCGGCTCAGTCTCGCGCCTCGTTCCCGGTGTCTTGATAAATTGCGAGTAACATGTGATACAGATACACCAAGACTGACGTCTACCATATTAACACGATGTCACTATTTTGTAAACGGTATTTTAGCACTTCCTTGATGTATGGCAGATAGTTCCAGTCTATTTTTAATGGATATTTGTTTTCCTCGGTGCAATACATTATATTTAGTGAAAGGAGAACAAAATCCGTCCCAGTAATACTGATGAATTGGTCAATAAATTTGAACACATCAGAGATTGACGTCTGAGCCATGGATTTGTACAATTATAAATGATTTATTTGCGTTTTCGCACTAATGTTGCCATAATAACGTAAGTGCCCGCTATTTGCTGTATTACCATTTTGGGCTTTTATGAAATTAATATATTGAGTAGTAACGTTCCAACGACTGAATGTAAATAATAAGAGCTTGTATAAAATAATTAACGTCCCTAAATTAGAAAATGTAGATATTATTTGTAATGGTTGTGTAGTCTCTTTTCGATCTGATTATTTGTTTTAGTTAAATTGATTACGATGACATGTAATTATTATGTTTAGTCAGGACATAGTTGCAATGGTACCCATGCGTTTATGTAATTCGTAATTTGTGGTTTAAAAATCATGTTTAGGAAATTTGTTTATCAGAGATTCAAGATTAATCTAATACTTTCTGGTCATTATTGTGTCCTGTAAGTTGCGCGCGAATCACGTTGTGCTTGATATTACTAATTTTAGTTAATAACTGTATTACTATGATATTCTAAATTGCAATCACTGTCGTTAAAACGTAGTATATGAACAGCCTTTGGGTGAAATTACTGTATGTATACTTATGTTCGTCTAAAATATTATTTTAGGTGTCAGTTTTGTACATTTTTTATTGTTCCGTTTGTGTCATAACTTTAAGTGTATTATTTGGTGGGACCATAATGTTAAGTGCCTTGAGTATTTACTTATGTGTATATGATGAAGTAATTTATAACAAAATAAATCTAATAATTCCAATTAATATTGTATTTTTGTTATTTATTTCCTTGTCGTAAGCTATTGGGTCAAAGTTTAGTACACAATTGAGATTTTAAAGTGGCTTGATATTTTGTAAGCATTGTGTATGGAAATAGAACATTCCAAACTGTAAGATGTTTTGGGTTTCTCGAGTGGTGGATTATAATGGTTATTTCGATAGCGTTTTGGCATAATGGACGCAAGTGTTTTGAAAATTTGGAATTCTCAATACATAAGTGAACACAGCACAATTCTATTCAATCCGATTGTGCTGGATATATGACAATAGATTACCCTCATACATGTTTATCTATATGAAATTAAAAACAATCGACGAAAACTGGCGTCACCATGACGAATAAACGTTTCGATAATAACGATACCAAATTGATAAATAAATAATAAGGTAAGCCTTGTACTTTCAAAAATTGTTCGGGGGAAACACTACTCCGTTTTATCTTTAAAAATACAATAAAATAAAGTTTAAAGATAAGAAACACATTAATGTAGGTATTAAACGTATAACATAAAGAATATTATGTACGTAGGTACACTCCCACTCTGTTTTGTTTAAGTAGTTCAATCTCAAAGCGCGAAACTACGCAACATCTACAAATATAAATAAAACTAGGTTAGATAGGTACATACGAATACCACAATAAGCCGTGTAGTGCTAGTAGAGTAGAATGCATTGGCAAGAGCTGACTCAAGGATGTCCGGCACTTCGGCAGAGACCTGACCACTCTCACCCCATGCTTGAGTCAGCAACTTTAGGTACACGAGGTGTCATACAAGAGGACCAACCTTCATCATTTTGAGATATCCCAATATTTTATCAGTGTGAATCGAAAATTTTTTTTGCTGGTCTCCGACTTGTCTCCCTAGTATTAGGGGGAAAAGTCGGAATTATTTAAATTATCTCCATATGGGATGTTCTTTTTTGGAACAAATCCGACGCAACCTAAATATAAAAAACACCTAGCTTCACCTAGTTTCACTGACGGACTGACTGTCAGACTATTATTTATTTGGTATTTGTTGACGTTTCAAAAGTACCAAACTATGGTTTAATTGAAATAAATGCTTTGACTTTGACTTTTGCAATTATTCACTACGGCAGAAGTGCAGAGTTGCACACTATATTACAAACAGGGACTAACCAAACCAACCATAAAAATAACGAGACAATGACGTCACGAGCGTCTTAGGAATATGAACAAGTATCTTGAATCCCATAATTAAATAAATCAGACGATATTATTAGCGATTCTCCTTTTGTTTCTTACTGCTGGCCCCAACTTCGTTGAGAAAATCGCTATTTGTAGATGTAGTAAGGCTTGTAATAAAAAAAGTATAAATTCATCACATATAGTGAATTTATTATCTGAACAAAAATAATCTATAAGTTCTTAAAATATTTACAATTCCTTAAATTACAACTTACTGTCAACATACCCTGTTCGCTTTTCAACCGTTGCGTTCAAACATTATATTAACTAGACGTGTAGGTGGCAAGAGGACATTCCGAGCGATCTACGTTCCATGAGTCTTATAATTACGGATAAGTTAACAGCGATGTAAGTCATATCGGCCCTTCACGATACTTACAACATGTTGAAAAGAGAAGAGAGGGCGGGGATTCTCCTAATCTTACATAACATTATATAAGCTAATTTTCTAATAACACAGTCCCATACATTACCCTAGCATATACTTAGATCGGCTCCGCGATACTGTCGCTACGGTTCACTTCCTATCGATACACAACTAACGTGGACATTCAGGTACATAACATACATAAAGCAATACAAGTATATGCTTTTTAAAATCATAAACAAATGTATGAACTGATGACAGGACAATTTGCGACGATGAGAATGAATTGAGAGAATGATGACCACTGACCTATATCAATATGGTTACTTCAATAAATGTGAATAAAAATAGCGGTGACATGGACTTGCCGCGGGACGCGGGTTCGTTAGCGGAATTGCTATCGTTTGTATGATCGGAAAAGTTTCAGTTCGAATACTTTTCAACCTTATTCCTACAGAAATAAGGATGAAAAGTGGTTAACAAAAATGTTTTACATCTACACCATCTATGCTTTGGTAACTAACAATACTGGCGCACTAATGAACGATCCCTTAACAGATATTTGTTCATTTACATAAGTACCGCCTTTACTTCTTGAATGTTTACTGAAGAAACGAAACGTGATGAAGCACAAATGACTGCATTTAACTCTACGACCATTGACAATGAATATGACGATGATATGACTTAAGTACTTATTAAAAAACATCGAGCGACATTATTAAGACTCTATTATCGAAATAGGTCAGCCTGAAATAAACTAATACATAGTAACAGTCATTTTGAAAGCATCTCTTTTTCGTAAGCCGTAAGAGTGTTTTTAGTAAATTAAAATGCCGAAGAAGCCGTATAAGGAAAAAGACAAGATCCCGGCAATATACGCAGCCTTGTGTTCGAGCTGTATTCTCATTATTTATGACATTCGTCTTCAGTACGACGGTCATCGAATAGCGACACACGCAAAGCAGTTGTATTACAAACCGATACTAAACAGTAATCTACGGTTAGATAATTGTAAGTATAAAAAGTGCATTCTAACATAAACATCAGATATAAAGGTATCTGAAGTAATGTTCTAAGACAAAGTTTGTAGGTTCATATAAAGATACAATTGTGTAAATTCGAGTATTGATGCAGTACAATTGCACATTGAACATAAACAAACAGTTTACCATACACGTCGCTAACACATAGCCAATCTAACTTGCTAGTTAAAGTACTTATAATCAGATGTTATATAACATATTTGCAGCTTGCAAAGCTATACATTGTAAAGTTTAATAAATATATACACATTGCTATAACATCTGCAGTCTAAGCTTGCAATAATAATGCGACATCTATACACAAAAAGCGTTTAACAGTAGCACTTATTGTTCCATGTTTAATATGTACCGTTTTCTTATATATACAACAAACAGCATTATATGAGTAACGTCCCGACGCTTCGCCTGTCTATGCCAAGTGCTCGCTACGCGACGGTAACAACATGTTAATTTCGACAGTCAGACACTAAAGTCGTTCTTCCAGAAACATTCTAGCGTACCCATTCATTGGCTTGGCCATGCAAATTAGCTGTTATCTTCGAGATGCGATGACGTATGCGTATTATTAATGATTTATGTCTATTTACAGTTACTCTATGACACGGGCGTCGGTGACTTAGTCGGGTCGGTATATGGGTATTTTAGGAATAAACTCTATGAGAAGTACGTATTCCATCATGGATGAGGAGTCGCAGTGTTGCTTGGTGAGTCGCCAGCGAAGTCCCAGCTTGTTGTACAGTCGACTGTTCTCCCATTCCAATAGTTTGTTCAGAGAGTGTTGCGTCTGTAAAGAGAAAGCAATATTATTAGTACCAATACTTATATAACATCACGCCTTAGGTGGCTGCACATTAACGATTAAGTGTAATAAACACTTTTCAAGTGGTATGTTATAAAGCTCATGGGTGTTGTGGCCTCATGGGGCGAGTCTATCAGTGTACACTGGATACCATTCCAGACTCCGTGTTACTACTGAAAGAACATCAAATAATACTTATCAGGAATTAAACCCGGTACCCAGTAGTCTTATTTGTGTCTGATCACCCTACGAGACAGAGAACAGTACTTATTTCTATTTATACATTAAAATCACTCAAATATGGAACGACCTGCTAGCCACAGAGTTTTATATGTACCGATGTACATAAAGCTCTATATTATTATTTATGATACACAACATTGTAGATGGTCATAAATAATGCATATAAGCATCGAAGATCGTGGAGTATTTGGGTAAAACGGCGTAGGTACTATATTATTTATATTAGAGATGAACGGATAGCTGTTTTGACGGATAGTTGAATATTTAACCAAACATT